TCTGCGCTCACTCAGTTCCACGGAACAAAAAATTAGAATAGTCCAGCACTATTCGCGCCCATTCAGTTCGAAAGAACAAAAAATTAGAATAGTCCAGCACTATCTGCGCTCACTCAGTTCCACGGAACAAAAAATTAGAATAGTCCAGCACTATTCGCGCCCATTCAGTTCGAAAGAACAAAAATTAGCAATAGTCCAGCACTATCTGCGCTCACTCAGTTCCACGGAACAAAAAATTAGAATAGTCCAGCACTATTCGCGCCCATTCAGTTCGAAAGTAAAAAAAAATAATAATATATAAATACGCAGAAAAACAAGAAAAGCTACCAAAAGCAGCAAAACAACAAAGTTGAGTAGGAAACAAGCCAGCGCGATAACACTTCAAACATCATCAGTGTTAGGCTGTACGTCCTCTCGGCTTGTCTTGCGGCGCAGCAGGGGGCGCTCCTCCTCTTCTTCGTCATCATCGGAGGCTATCTCGCCATCCCTTCGCGTGCCCTCAGCTTCTTGGCGCTGCTCCCCGCCCGGGCGCTTCTCCGCTTCTTGGCGCTCCTCTTCCTGGCGCTCCCCTCCCTCCTCCTCATCATCCTCCTCCTCAGACTCGGAGTCGGAATCCAAAGGGCGCTTCTCGCCTATCCACATCTTCACATGTTGGACCATCTCGCGAGTGTCCCAGTTAACCCCGGGGTTCTCCGGACGCACCTTCTTCCCGACCGCAATCACGGCCTTGGTCATGGCATCCGCCAAGATCTTCCCGAAAGAAGGAGAGGACTTGAATTGGCGGATAGCCGCAGCCTCGGCCGCGCGAACAGCCTCTGCTTTCGCGACGTTATGAAGGCGGACCAGGTCGTCCTTCTCCTTCTGAAGCTCTGCGCGAGCTTGCTTCAACTTCTCGGCGAACGAGGCCTCCAGCTGTCCCCGGATGGTGGAGCGCTCCTCGCTCCGCACCTTCTCCTTAGCCGCTTCCACGTCGGCGGCTAATTTGCTCTGCAAAACGCCGAGCTCCTCCATCGCCTCGTTCGCCTTGTCAGTCGCCAGGTCAGCACGATTATTCGCCCCGAGGACCTTCCCCTCCAGCTGGACGATCTTCGCCTCGTCGGCCTTCATCTTCGCGCGCTGTGAGGCGCGCTCTTGCTGAGCCCGGAAGGTTGCCAGCAACCCCTACAATCACAACGCCAAAAGACTTAGCAAAATATTGCATATAACAGTACAACCAAAAGACTCCGCGAGAATTCAATCTGATCTTACCGCGAAATGGACCTGAGCCAGGTCATGAAGAGGATCAGATTTCTCCACTCGTGGCGGAACGCTGAGGACGGTCCCGAGCGCCCGAAGGGCGGTGTTTGCGGACGCCAAGTTGCAGGCCGCCCCAGTATGAATCCGCACATCACGGAAATAATTGACGCCCGCGGCAGCGGGAGCAGCAGTAGTGGGAGCGGCAGTAGCTGTGGTGGGAGTGGCAGTAACAGGAGTCCCCCCGAATCCAGCCATCTCTGGCAACCTCTGCTGGACGGTGGCTCCCGACGAGCTCCCAGCCATCTCTCTATCGCGACGAGAGGACTTATTTATCGGCGCCTCTGGCTCCGAAAGCGCCAGTGTCAGCTGCCGCGCAGCAGACGACGACTGTTGCGCCGCCCGATCAGATTTCTCCGCCAAACGAGCCGCCTTAAGGGGCCTCCCGATGGCTGGAGCCTGCGGCTGCTCGATCTCCTTCCGCTTGGAAGTCCTTGGCGCCGCGCCAGTCTTCTTCTTCTTGTTGTTGTCAGCGCGCGGTGCGACGTCGTCCACCGACATCATGCTGACGAGGCTGGAAAAATCAACACCTGCGCCAATAAATCGTAAGAGAGCGGTTAATAAGATAGAATGCAAAAGAGGAAAAAATATAACTAACCATCGCCAAACAACTCCTCCAAGCAAGCCTCACGGACTCCTCCAGTGTATAAATTCATCCGATGAGGCATGCACGCCTCGTATTCATCGTTGAGCCCGTCATAAGTGCCGGCATCCGCCTCAAACCCGAGCGTGCTGCCCTTCTTCCAGGTGGTGGGCTCCTCCAGGAAATCACTCGCCCATTCTCCAGGAGTGGGCTTGACGTAGAAGAATCGCTCGAACCAAGTTTTCTTCAACTTGGGCGACCCATATACGAAGCAGTCAGGGCGGTTATCGCGGCGCTTGATAGAAAGGCAGTCGCTCCTGGTCGTGGGCTCCTTGATCTTGTATATTTTCCTGAACAGGCCGTACGTCGGCTCGATGTTGAGCCTTTTGCACGCGAGGCGGAGACAGCTCGCGTGCATAATAACTGACGGGGAGAGCCGCCCGACGGAGCATTTGAGGCGGCTATACAAAGCGCATAAGAGCGGGTTGATGGGGAATTTGAACCCCATCACCCAATACTCTGTATAAACGCCAAACCACCCAGGGGGGCAATGGCCCACCATGCTCCGCGCCGAGGGAGCAGCGTACTGCCAATGGGGGGGGCAACCCCAGCCCGCGGACTATCTCCGCCACGTCGTCGACATCGTATATAGAGGCGTGCTCGGGGCCGCGCTTGAGGTTGTCATGCGGCGCCGGCTGGTCGCCCCACATCTCTGCCCACTCTATCACGTTGTACGCGGCGCCAAAACCCTGAGGCCCCAATCGGGCCATGGCCTCCTTCACGCGTACAACCTCGCGCGGCTCAGACTGTGTACCGGAGTCTTCAGGTGCCACATCGTCGGTAATCTCCGGCCTATTATCACGATCACGGCGGATAATCAATACCCCCCGGCCCCTCTGCATCGCTTGCCCACTCCCGGAGGCAACCGCGCCCATTTCGGAAGAACCACCGAGTTCATCCTCCGACCCGACTCCGAATGACGGTGTCGCCGGAATCCCATCGTCACCACCGTCGTTCCCACCACCGGAACCACCGTTTCCATCTCCAGAACCACCGCTCCCACCACCAGAATGATCAGTAGAAGTGTGCGAAAGAGGGGAGAAATTACCTTCTTCGCCTTGCACGACCTCGGCCTCGTTGTTGTTGATGCTAGACATGATGTTGACTCGAACCTTAGCAACAGCAGAAGGAGGATTGAGGTTGTAGAAGGAGGAGAGAAATCTCAGGGAAAGAACAATCAGGGAAAGAAGGATCGAGAAATTAGCCAACAATCGAAGGAAACAAGTGAGACTCCCTCCTCACAGCAGTCCCATATTTATAGTCGGCCAGGGGGAAAGCGAAGGGTTAAAGTCGGCCAACGGAATGCGAAGGGTTAAAGTTACATAGGGATCTGTAACCGTCAGATCCTACCAAATCTGTTCGAAATTCAAAAAATCCCCGCCCAAGTAGCCTAGTCACACAGCGACACGTGGACACCTACCATCATAGGCACTAGTCGGCGACGCCACAAGTGCCGCGCACCGCCTGGGGGGCACGACACACCCGCGAGGGAGAAAAAACACGCCTCAAGCCGCGCGATTGGGACAACTTCAACCGCGCCACGACACATCCCTCAAGCCGCGCGATCGGGACAACTTCAACCGCGCCCGTCGCGCGTGACTCGCATCATGACTCATCCTGCGCACAACGCCACAACGCATCGTAGCGCGCGCATCAGCCACAAGTGCCGCGCACCGCCTGGGGGGCACGACACACCCGCGAGAGAGGAAAAACACGCCTCGAGCCGCGCTATCGGGACAACTTCAACCGCGCCCGTCGCGCGTGACTCGCATCATGACTCATCCTCAACGCAAAAGTAGCGCGCGAATCAGCACAACGCATCGTCGACTCAAAGTGTCGTGCGCAACAAACGAAAAATCCAACGGAAAAGCCCAACTACAAGCGCGCGTAAAGTCCAACCTATCGCAACAAGCGAAGTGAACCCGAAAGACCCACCTCACGGAGATCACACAGGCCCGAGTCAGTCAAGCGGAAATCCAAACAGGTGGTGTTCACAGAACACCCCCTGATGGGGGGCAATTGTTGGGCATATGACTCGGGCCTTGCCATGCCGAAGGAACACGCCGCGCGAAGACCCTGAGCGCGACACCTCAGCGTGGTCCACCACGTCCCGGCGCGAGAAGCTTAGACGCGGAGCGGGTCGCACGCATGTTGGAAGACCATAGCGTAAACCAGACCAAAGGGATGTAGAAAGCGTAGCTTCCCTCCCCAAGGGGGTAGTCACATCAGGGCCCTAGGCATGGCCCTAGATAGGTCTCTGACACGTCCTAGGTAGAAGCATGGCCTAAATCCGTAGTCAGTCAGTAGTCACATCATTGTATCCTCACATGAGTCAACCACTCACCCACCACCATGAAGCCTATAAATATGGCATTTACTACGGTGGGTGAGGGGGATCGCATTTTGAGCATTCTATCTCTATAAACATCAACTTCTCTCTCTACGACTCCTTTCCCCCAATCTTATCCTCTCAATCTCGTTTCCTCGATCCCTGTTACCCGCGTGATCGTTGATATTCCCCTTTTGTTCACTCTTCTTGACCCACATCTTTCCCCGAACCTCACTCCTACACTCAGTTAGGTTCAAACACTATACACATAATTATACCATTAACGTTGGTGTTTGCACATTTCTTTTTGTTTTATAAGAAGGCAAAAATTACATTAAAATTGAGTATCCATTATTTTTTGGGTACTCAATATTATGAGTCCAATTTATACTCACACTAAAATGTTGGGTATGCATCTCTCGCGACGGTAAAATTACCCAGATCCTATTTTACTCATACTATGACGAGTTTGGCAGTATCCATCCTCGATTATGATGTTATGATACCCGAGACAAGGGACTCAGAGGACAGAGGTCACTATGTTTTTTTCTACAGACGATTGATGCTACTCAAAAGTTTTATGTACCAACTAATCGACAGTTTTGATCTGAACATATTTATATTTTCAAAATGATTTATTCATGATAAATTAGTCGTTACATCATCCAACCGAAACTAATCGACCACACAACAAAATCTGACCCCTCCAAACTAATTTGCAACGATACACTAAAACTAACTATCAGGCAAAATCTGGCAATCCATGCTCTGCAAGTAAACCTCCCTCGCTCTCAAGTCATACCCAACATTGTAACCTTGCTGAGCCATCATCCCGACAATGCTGATCGTCCCCGTCCGGAGAACGGCGAAGCAGAACACGTCGCCGGTGACCTGCTTGAACAACCCGAAGTTATCCACCGTCACCTCCGCCCCTCGGGCGAACTGCAGCGCCATCGCCGGGAACCCTCTGGCTTCTCTGTCCACGGCTCCTCTGTAGCAGAGCTCGTACGGTGACGGCGCCGGAACCTGTTGCAAGATCGGGTTGGCCAGCTTCACGACCTCTTGTTTTAGCACGTCGAAGACTTCTGTGTAGATGAATGAGAGCTCTGCTCCGGTGTCGAGAACCACTCCTTGCTTGTACGACATTGTGGTGATAGCTTCTTGCTTTATGTTCAGTACCTATAGCAAGAAATTAAAAAGGAAAGGTTAACCATTGAGAAAGATACATCATTACATATATAATTGAATTTAAAACTTCGTTGGAAAATTTCTCCACTATAATTTATTCTCAAAATACAATACTTATATAACTAAAATTTCCTCAAAATAATACTAGAGGATGGTGTGGTTCGTTCCGGTGTCGAGCCATCTATATGATGGTTCGTTGGAGAGAGAAGCGATTTACTATTGGATTGTGGCCAATCCAAGCGAATCAGTCCCAAGCCAACCTCAAATCAACATGGATCGTGACACGCTCAAGCGAACCACGATCCACACTAATCTATGTCAAAATTTTGAACAATCGTAACTTTCCACTCGGTTACTTGATCGAAGATCTCGAAAGTTATGCGGAAAAAAAAAATCGGAACGATTGAATAACCGAGTATAAAGTTACGGTCATTCAAAGTTTTCGACCAAGGCTAGTTTAGTAGATAGAAGGTTGGTTCCCTTCGGTCTGGCGCGATCCGGGTGGTTCAATGCTGATTTGCTTTTATTTGTGTTGGTTTGAGATTGGTTCACTTTGGTTTGACACGAATTGCTATAGATCGCTCCTCTCTCCAGCGAATCAGTGCATAATTCACTTGACATTGAAGCGAATAACGCCGAACTCTAGTATTTTTGAAATTATTTTGTTAAGTGTGGTATTGTGATTTTTTTTTTTATAACAACCTTGTATGTACTATGTAGGGAAATTGTCCAACTTCCTTTTAGAGTAAAGAAGGTTTAGTTGTTAGTAAACGGTATATGATCCACGATTGAACCTCTCCCAACAACTCGAGTTATTGGGATCAACTGGTTCTTGACATGGTATCAGAGCCTTCTGTGACCGTGATGTCTTCTGTTCGAATCCCGGTGACCCCCATCTGTTTCCGTTTCTGTTAAGCACACGGTGTCCGGACCTGTGCCTGTCCAAACTCCAAGCCTATCTGAATGGCTTGAGTTTGAAGGGGGGGTGTTAGTAAACGGTATATGATCCACGATTGAACCTCTTCCAACAACTCGAGTTATTGGGACCGACTGGTTCTTGACATGGTATCAGAGCCTTCTGTGACCGTGAGGTCTTCTGTTCGAATCCCGGTAACCCCCATCTGTTTCCGTTTCTGTTAAGCACACGGTGTCCGGACCTGTGCCTGTCCAAACTTCAAGCCTATCTGAATGGCTTGAGTTTGAAGGGGGGTGTTAGTAAACGGTATATGATCCACGATTGAACCTCTCCCAACAACTCGAGTTATTGGGATCAACTGGTTCTTGACATTAGTATATGTACCTGGCCTCCTAGGGTGATTCCTTCTATGAACACGTAGTAGATCCCTTCTTTCACTGCAACCGCAGTGGCGTCGCCGGTGAGGTAGGCATTAGCGCCGATTGACAACCGGTTGTAGGCGTAAGAGCGATCCGACACGCTGCCGACGCAGTACGAGAATTTGGAGCCGAGCCCGTCGACCAGAGAGTACGGCCCGGCTCCCAGAGCCAGCAATCCGTTGAAGTTCTGGTCCTGGTGCTCGGTGCCGGTCAGCGTACTGCAGCAGCCGAACTGGACGTTGGGAAGGGCGACGGTGGCTCCGTGGCCGGCCGGAGACATGAAGGTCAGCTGCTCCGTCGCGAGAACGCCTTCGGAGTAGTGGCCGCCGAGGTAGGCTTGTGTGTACATGCACACCTTGTGCGAAAACCATCCTGCCAAACACGAGGGAAATACGACAAATGATTTACGTGGTTAAAAAAAAATGTGTGTTTGCTAGTTCACGTGCAGGATATAGTCAATTTCACTATACTTCGAGCAGATACAGATTTCAGAGGACTGAGAGGAGTATGTGAAGTATTTATATTACTTCTCCAAGATCTAACCCTAAACCAATATAGTAAAGGAAAAACGGTTATCAACGTAGTCCAGGACATGAACCCAAATAACATTGACCCCGTGACTTTCCGTCGTAGCGACTGATCTGATAGTCCGATTCGAGTCACGTCAACATATTGTAAAACGCAAATTCCCACAAAATACCAACAGACCAATTCCATCGTAAATCCAGGATCTTATTAAACACAAATTTTAACTACAAATTTCATTTCTCGAATCCACGAAGCAAACCATCCTCAATCCGCGAAAAGGTAGTAGTATCGATTTTACCTTGGCACTTCTCGCAGTAGCTAGCACACGGCCGTGGGGAGTAAGTCTTGGACTTGGTCGGATCGAAGAAAGTCACGCCGGAGTTGGGCAGGCAAGGACGGCAGGGGAGGCACTTCACCCACGTCAGGCTGCTGCCGGTGTCCATGAGCGCGAACTGCCGCACCGGCGGCTCGCCGATGGAGAATTCGACGTAGAACACGTTGTGGTGGGTGGCCAGAACCAGGCCGGCCTGGACGCCCTCCGGCTGCAGCCTGTCGTCGGATGACGACGACGACAGGAACTCGTGGCGGGCGAGGGAAGATTCCGTGGCTCTTCGGGCGAGAGACGACACCGTTTCGGATGCGTTGTATAGGGGAGAGAATACCGAGTCGCGGTGGATGAGTCGAGTCGTGATCGTCGGGCGGTCATTGGAAGATGTGATGAGTGTTATGGAAGAGGAGAAGATGATGAAGAAAAGGACGAATGTTAGAAGAAGATTTAGCGACGGTCTAGTTGCCGTCGCCATAGCTAGAATAATTTCGAAAAAGAATTGAAACACTAGTGAAATTTTGGCAGAATGATTTTTATTTCTAGAGTGGTTTACACTTTACAGGTTTATACTATAGTTGTTCCTGATTATATACAAGGCAAGAATGTTAAGCATAATATATGTTCTTCTCCCTTGCTTAAAATTGTTTTGGAAGTTTATACTTTAGAAATGTATCTATACACATATACATAGAATATTATACGCATGATTTTGGTAGTATGAATCAACAAAAATGAATATATAACAATTTATTAACTATATTCTGTTTTTTGCATATAATAGAAAAGGTACATCAACTAATAGTAATTTATCTAATATATATCATTACCATACAATTTCCATAAAAATTATGGATTTTCCCCTTTTTTTTAGTGTGTGATACATATTACAAAAACATTCGTGATTGAATTCAGGAATCCAACCGACATATAACTTTTGGGCTTTTATAAAATTTTTAAAAAGTTTAGTAAAAAAAAATGTATCATATGAAGTATATTTTTGATTTACAATTCGAAGTTTAGGTATTAAATTATAGATATAAAATATATACAATACTGATTTTATGTTTCCACCAATCCATATAAATCCACTAATGCGTCACATTCAGATTAAATGAATTCGGAGTTAAGTGGATTGAATTAATTGAATTTTTTTAGTTGAGAAGCGGATCAGATTCAAATTATCATCACTAAAAGTACCATCTTCGTTACTTGACCTGTAGAATTCAATAACGACGTGCTACCTTTTCAACCAATCATAGAAAGTAAGGACTACGAACCATACTGAAGATTATACCAGAAAAAATCAATATGCGAATAATTTATACGAAACCTGTGATTTAACTGTGATTCAACCCTTTCATACCGCTTTCTCAATGTACTTCATATCCACTCACCCTTGCAAGAGCTCACAATCTATATTCTGGAAATACACTTTCATCGCCCTCAAGTCGAACCCAACGTTGTAACCCTGCTGCACCATGATCCCGACGATGCTGAGGCTCTCCGACCGGAGAGCGGCCAGGCAGAAAGTGTCGACGTCCATCTGCACGAACATCCCAAACTTATCGGTGATCAACTCCGCTTCGCCGACGAAGTGAAGTCCCAACGCCGGAAACCCTGTAGCGTCCTTGTCCACGGTCCCTTTGTAGCAGAGCTCCAGAGGGCTCACCGGAGGAACCTCCGTCAGCACCGAGGAAGCCAGCTTCTGAACCTCCGCCTTCACTACGTCGAAAGCTTCTGTGTAGAGGTGGAGCAGCTCTGTGCCGCTGTCCATGGCGATCTTCTTTCTTATGGACATCTTTCTGAAGACATAGGGCTTAATGTCCAACATCTGGTCCAGGCAAAAACAAAAGGAATTATAACGAACTGATTAATAACTCGAGTTATTGAGAAAGATGTGCTTATGACATTGTATGATAACTGGTCTGATCGTGCGTTCAAGTAGTTCAAGTCCTCATGGGATCAGCTGGTTTGTAACAGAACTTGGCTTAAGATTGAGGAATTGTATAAGAAAGTGATTAAAATCCATGCATAAACATTTTCCAACAATTCGATTTATTATTATTACTAATTGGCTTATGATAGAACTTAGGGCTCATTTGGGGAATTTGAATCTAAATCTACAGATTCTACACAATTCAAAGATTTTAATTCTTTGGATTGTTGAAAAAAGATTTGAAAATGTTCATTGTTTTGTAAATACGATTGTTAACATCCAATGAAAAAAGAAATTCTATTTTTTATTTATTAAATGACATGTTTATCATTAACCAAAATAATTAGATGGGCTCGAAAAATATTGAGAATTTATTGGTAAGGGTATTTAGCGGGATAAATGAAAAACAAAAAGATATAGTATGAGGGAGAAAATCTTCAAAATCAAGATGTAGAATCTCTCTAATTATGAGAGATTTGATATCTCTAGATTTTAGAGATTTAAAATCTATGTAGCTACAATCCATGATACAAAAGGTAGAAAACAAACATAACATTTTGCTAAATCTATGAATTCAATAAATTCATGATCCAAATCTTGTTCTCCAAACGAACCCTTAGACACTACAAAATATTGTGGCTATCCCAGCGGTTCCCTAGAAGGGGTTTATTAAACCCTTGCTATAATTTCCTGAACTTGTCATATCAGCGGGTACTTTCAACGGTTGCATAACCGCTGCTACGTTTAAAGACAAATACGATCAAAACATCTACCACTCCCATCTTCAAATAGAATAAAAAAAATCAAAGGAAGGGGAAAATCGAAAAATGTTGGAGCTGCGATTGGGTTATTCGTCGGCTCTAAGCTTCGAATTGCGGAGACGCGGACCAGGCCTGGGTTAACAATTTCACCTGCTTAATTAGATGGTTGAAGATCCCCTGCACTGGAGGATAGAAGGCGGAGAGGATGGAGATTGACTATGGGGACGACATCTTGCACGATCCAATAGGCAAGTAGTAGATCTAGGGTTTGGAGAGCTCCGTTCGATTCTCCCTCCTTCGTCAGGGGAGAACTTCATATTGTCCCCATGTCCCGACGAGACCTCGGCTGCGGCCGTGACAGCTTTCGGAAGCATTACGAGTGCAATTCTGGCTCTAGAAGATACCGCTCCGTCTTCAACCGAGAGCCGAGGTACCAACCAGTCATATTAGAGATGTTTAAGATTAAGTTGTTACTTGTTTCAATAAACTGTTTATATGAATTGGAGTTTGGGGTTAAATGGATTATTTGCAGTGTTCAGGGTTAGACGGTTCTACTAGAGTTTCTCATTGGATTTCTGCAAAACCGTTTAGATTGGTAAGTACTTAATCTTGTAGGCGGTTTGATTGGGAATTACATAGTTTGCTGCTATCATTGAACTGAGACTTGTTTCTACCTGTTGTGAGTATATAATCTTTACTCAAGTATTGTTACATGAATGCAATAGGGATCTTGTAGAGTTGCCGTTTATTATGAACCTTGATATTCCAGCTTATACCGTGGTTCTTCAATTGCTCATTGAAGCTCTAGGTGATAATAGGGTTGTTACTTATGGTTAGATTTTCCCCCTGCCTCATGATATTGCAGCTTATGGTTGGGTTTTCCCCCTGCCTTACTAGAAAGATTTTTTTGCTTGCCTGCTTTGGGTATTTCACATACGGATGACAACATTTCTATTTAAACTCTCCTTTGTTTGAGTTCAAATTATGATATATAAGACTTCAGCTCCTTTACACTATGCTTTCCAATTCTCTGTATGTCAGATGCAAATTTAATAGAACCGGATTCTGGCAATTATTGTTGGTTGATGTGTTTGATGTACTAGTTTAGTGCTGGTGTTAGTCTATAAATCATAGTGGCTGAAGTAATTTGGCTTTCATGCTTAGTGCTAAGTAAGGTAGCACAATCATGTCCTTGTGAAGTTGTGATCCCCTTTTTAAACTTACCAAACAGAGTAAATTGCAGGCAATTGTAGAGTAATTTTCTAGGGATAAGATAGTTACTAGAAAAACAGAGCTAACTAAAGGTAAATGTGGAGTGCAGGATCAGCAGCAGGCGACGATGAGGAGATGGTTGGATACAGGTTCCACCCATCTGAAGAATAACTGGTGAATTACTATTTGAAGCAGAAGATGTTGGGCCGTGATGATGAAGTTCGCTGCATTGCCGAAGTTAATGTCAACAAGTTCGAATCTTGGGAGCTACCAAGTAATTCTTGAGTATATGATCAAACACCAGTTACCAAACTGAGATGGTATTTATACATGAAGCAGATGTAGCTAAATGAACAATTGAGTAATGATGAGATGTAATATATACTGTTGTTTGATGTGGGCATGACAACCATCTACAGAGGTCGATACAGAGGAGGCAGTTTGTTATTTCTTGGCTGCTCCAGATTACAAGTATGGGAACAGAAAGCGAGCTAAAAGGACTACCAAGGCCGACTACAGAAAACCAGCCAACAAGGAAAGGTTGGTTCGGGCTGAAAGCACCGGGGAGGTAAGACTTCCTTACTAAGTCCAAACTACGAAAAACTCCAAGGTGCATATGATGGAAGCCACGATTGTTGAGTTCAACTCCAAGAAATTAATTTGCCTGTATTAGCCATTATGTCAGCAGGTAAAGCTTGTTAGGTGAATCTGTTGGCTTTTCATTGTGTGGTTTCATGGTTAAAGTTTCCTTTCTATGTGTTATTTAATTATTGATTTGTGTGGCTTGTGGACTGAGGTCAGATTGGTGTATTTTCGTGCAGGACATCCCTACACACTTAACCGGTCCGGTAGGCCTGTAATCTTGACCCGTGATCCTTATGCAAATGCACTTGAATTCACTCAAGTCGATTGACTTCTGCAGCTTAAGCTCACAATGGCATTGAAATTTTTATAGACGTAAAAATTGTTAATTTCTAAAATTATCACTGATCACCTTTTTAATATTACTTTACAGGAAGCTCAAAGGAGTAAAATGGGGATTTAAAGCATTTTAGAGGACCAACTATGGTGATCTGAATCCATACTTCTGGTATTAATTAACACATTTTACTTGGTTTGATATTTACTTTGTATGAACTTTCAAACAGTTCACTTCCGTTTGAACCATCTACAATACATGCTAATAATCTAGAATCCGCTTTACATGCCCTTTATTGTGTTCGGTTATGGCTCCATTTGAACCATCTAAATTAATGCCCTTATTAGAAGTGGCTCCCTCTATAAGTGAAGTGTGATTTGTTATTGCTTGTTGCGCGCTTATTTCTTCTTTCTCTTGGTCTGGTTGTTGATCTAGATGAGCCAGGAGTTCAGTTAACATTTTTATTAAGGCCAAAAATGATTGAGCTTCAGATTTGGGATACAACAAGCCAATAACAATTTAGAAGGATTGTACACTTAACCCCTGTGTATGTGTCCTATTGCATGATATAGTAGGATTGATAAACAAGATAAATAGATGTGGCATCCTTCTTCCTGCTTAAGGTTCTCATTCTTCCTCCTTTTCATTTGGAATCCTTTTCTGTATTTGCTTAACTGATTATGTCCTTTTTCAGCTGGTTTTGAGCTGCTGCTACTTGGGTTTCTCTGCATTTCCTCATTTGGGGTTTATACGTTTTCCTCTACTTATTTCTCAGGGCTTCTAGATTGGAAATCAACTCTTCATAGCTGCTCTGCTGCTGGTTAGAGTAATCAAAGATAATTCCCTACTGCTGGTATGCTGCAATCTATTTTAATACTATTAAAAATTATCAAGTAACTTTTGATAATGTACTCTACAGAATCTGAACACAGAATGTGTGTTGTTTCCAGGAGGTGTTTGAATGTAGATTACCAAACTCATCAATGATTGTTCATAAGGTACAGTAGATGAGGATTCTCAAGCACATATTATTGAGCATTTGAACTGCTTAATATGGTTCTAAGCTTGTTACTTTATGGATTTTCTAAGCAGATAAGTGTGACAGTAGCTGTGGCAAATTCCTTCCAGTCAGGGTGCAAGTGTTCATTAGGCTCTCGTATGCACCCAGCTGTCTAATAGGTATACCGATCATCAAGGTGCAACTCTAGATACTTTATAGTGTTTTGAATATAGCTCTAGATGCTTTATAGCGTATAGGCCATGACCAACTGATTGATTTGTGTTGTTGCAGATGCTATGCAAGTGGTTTGTTCAACTTCTTTTGAGTACTTACAATGTTGTGAGTAGTAAACTATATTTCTTTGGATTATGTTTGTATATTTATATTTATTAGCATTTTACCATGTAAATAATATTATCTTGGATCATGAATCATGAAATATTGATGGTATAATGTACTGTATGATTTGGCTATGAAGAATGATATTTACAGAAAAATTTGCAAAAAAAAAAAAGTCTGGTTCTGGATTTATCTATAGTGACTAGAGCAATTGCAACCAAGTTATAGTCACCAATTTAGGTAATTTACTTTTAGCGACGGGTTTTAGTTTGTTCAAAAAAATTATCCGTCTCTCTTTAGTGACAGGTGTGAGTTGGTGGCAAATGATATAACGACAAATTACGCAGGGGTTTTAACCCTTGCTAGTTAAAACAACGAATATGACCATTGGATTTTATATTGATTTGTAGCGGGGGTTTTAACCCATGATATAGTAGCAAGGGTTTGAAACCCCCTGCTATAACCCTTGCATGGAACTTTCACCGTGGGTTGATCAAAACCCTTGCTACACCTAGCAAGGGCAGCATAGGCGAGGGTTCATGCAGGGGTTGGTAAAACCCTTACTACAACTCGTAGCAGGGGTTAAAACCCTTGCTATAGGTAGAAAAAACCCTTGCCATAGACCCCTTTTTTAGTAGTGAGAGTTACTTGATTGAGGAAAAAAAATTCATGATTTGATGTCTTGACAGGATATCAGAGTCTTGAATGAAAGTTTTTGCATTCAAAGTTTCAAACATTGGTAATTAATTAACCCCAACGTTAATCTTTGATCTAAAATTGAAGTATGAAAATTTAATATATTTGTAGAAATTTATCAAGCCTAGTGAACAAACTTTCGTTTGAGGATATTTATCACACCTAATGTTTGATATTTTATGGTTAAACCGTGATTCTAATCGTTCCAAACCGAAAAAATTCTATATCAACTTGAACTCAAGTAAACAAATTTTCCATCTAACTATTGATATAGTACAGTTTAGCAAACACATCTAATAACTATTTTTTGACCTAAATAATGCAAAATATCATGGAATGAATCTTATACTATACACCACTTAACAACTAACTATAAGTAGAGCGATAAAACAAAAAAAGAAGTCGAGCTAATACCTTGCCTCCTAAGCTGATACCGAACATCTGGACGTAGTAATTGCCATGATCGAGGTACAACGGCGTCCAATCTCCGACCAAGTCGACGGCATCCCCGAAAGACAGCCGATTGTGAGGGTACGTGACGTCGGCCAGGCTGCCGACGCAGTACGAGAACTTGCTGCCCAGTCGGGTGACAATCGACTCCTCCCCTCTAGGCAGACTGCTATAACTGCCTCCGGCCAGCCCCAGAACTCCGTTGACTTGACCGTCAAGGACGTTCGGTCCGGTCAGCTTGCTGCAGCAGCCGAAGAGCACTTTGGGGACGACGGTGCACCGGCCGTCGGTCGTCCCGAAGACCAGCTGGTCGGTGGCGTAGACTCCTTCCGAAGTCTGGCCGCCGAGGTAGTCTATTGTGTACATGCAGTGTTTCGGCGACTTTGGCCACCACGATTCTGCGTCACAGGGGAATAGAAATTTTCATCCAATGGTAATAGGATGATGATATTTTTTCCCCCTTCTGTAATACGTCTAAATTGGATATCATTTCGAAGAACATAATGAATCTGTTGTCTTTGTATAAAATTTACTCACTTTCAAGTTAAAAACGAACGATAATAGAAGGTGGTATAATTGGTGCAAATTTTTTGTTTTTAAATATATCAAAAATGAATATCATTGTTGCGGATTATGATGAACCTGTTTTTTTTTCTGTGTAAAATTATTTAATAATACGATTAAAAACATGGGAGGTATAAGTAGATTGAATAAGTAGGAAATTAAAATTACTATTTAATCTCAACCACTGAATTCGACCCTACAAAATCAAGAGACCATATCTAGTGAAAACCAGTGTTTGTAAATCGTATTATATCGGCGATTCGCGAGATCCGGAAAACATTCTAACGGAGTCTAAATTGATAGGCAGGTTTTAGCAGCTTGACACAATATAACCACGGTTTCAATATAAAATACCCTACTACTAGCTTTTCCAATACCATACGAATTTACAATTCTTTGTAAAAACACATGAGATTTTGTGACAAGAATGAAATGGTCACTAATAATCATATCGTCGCAAAACATTAAAAAAACCCCATTATATTGCTTACCCGTGCATTTCTTGCAGGCGGTGGTACACGGCCGTGGAGAGTAAGTCTTTGACTCGAAGGAATAAAAGAAGGTGGCTCCAGAGTCGACGGGGCAAGGACTGCACGGCGGACACTTCAACCACAGCAAGTCGCTGCCGGTGTCGAGCAGCGCCAGTTGCTTCACCGGCGGCTGGCCGATGGAGAATCTGACGTAGAATATGTTGTATTTCGTTCCCCATACCAGCCTGGCCTCGATCCCGCCGACGATGCTATCCTCCGGCTCGTCGTCGTTGACCGCCGAAAGGTAGGCGCGGCGGGCGAGGGAGGATTCCACGATCCTTCCGGCGCGGTCGGCGGCGGTTAAGGAGGCGTTGTAGAGAGGGGAGAGGTGGGAGTCGCGGTGGATGAGCTGAGTCGTGATTTTGAAGCAGTGGGATGTGAGTGGTGAGATGGAGAAGAAGAGAAAGATGAAGAAAGGGAAGAGAGGGATTGATGTTCTTGCGGCCATGGAGAAGGGGGAAAATGAAGGTTAGTGTTTTCACTTTGGTGTTTATTATTTTTTTTTTAATTTTGGGTATTGTGGGGCGTTACACGAATTGATGATCTTTCTAGTTTTTGCATTAAGTAAAAAAGGGAGGTAAATAATAATGAAAGGATGGCACAAGTGATTCATGTACATGCATAAAGTTCAATAGTGCATGTACACCTTTGAACTTTAAGGAAATTATATAAAACATAGATTTGGTGGGATTGTATTTGCTAGATCATCTTTATGAAGTAATCGTCATAGATTATGTGATTTCAATAGTTCTGAGTTGTTGGAGAAAAGTTAATTATGGATTGTATATATGTTTCTCTCTTACACATCTCCTCAAATAAAACGAATTCATGAACTTGAAATTTGTACATATATCCACCGTCTGTTATGCTCATATCAAACGGTCATGGTTGAGAATCGTGGAGATTCAACATTCGAGCACCAACATTGGGTCAGATCAGGTTTTGATATCGTGTCATGAATTATTTTGTCCCAATAACTCAAACTATTGAGTAGGGCTGGCTATTTGGTCCGGGGTTTTTGGTTTTACACGAAACCGGACCGTATATCCCGGACTGAGACCGGACCGGGATCGGATAGTAAACAATCCAATCCAATCTTTGGGCTTAGATTTGAGGTAAAAAACTGTTCGGGACCGGATCGAAAATTGGATAAAGACCGGATAAGAGAGCTTAACACCCAAAACTTAAGGGTAATTTGCATAAACGGTCACAAATCTTTGCACTTAGTACAAAACTTAACCAACTCCTCACCCTTTCAGGCCTTAGGCCACTCAAATTCCCACAAGCTCAATATAAAATCAAGACCGAATTGGGACCGGACCAGGTCAAGACCGGACCGGATCAAGATCGGATTGTATCCAATCCAATCTTTGGTCCTTATATTTTCAAAAAGACCGGACTGGACCAAATCAATTTGGGCAAATTTAACCGGACCGGACCGTATAGCCACCCCTACTATTGAGAGAAGACTAATTATGGATCTTATATCACTCCCTTCCGGATATTAAATCTCTAGAAACACACTTAATCGAATAGGTACATGTAAGTTACGACAAATATGATGTCCCGACTGTTTCTCTACGGATCAAAAAATTAGAGGATTCGACACAAGATTACACAATTTACATGGTTCACTAATTGATGAAGAAAGGGGAGAGAGGGATTTATGTTCTTGCGGCCATGGAGATGGGGAAAATGAAAGTTAGTGTTTTCACTTTGGTATTGATTTTTTTAATTTTGGGTATGTGCCTATGTGGGGCGTTACACGAATTAATGATCTTTCTAGTTTTTGCATTGAGCTAAAAAAGGGAGGTAAATAATTATGGAAGAATGACAAATAATCCATGTACATGTTAAGTCATTGAGCCGGTTAAGCAAGGGGTTGAGGTTTAATGGTCTGATTGGGGTTCGGCCGGTTTGAGCCATTTTAGACATTTTCTAAATATATGTACAAATAAGGTAGTAATTAAAGATTTAATGATTGAAATAAAATTTATCTTACATATATCTATTAAAAACTTATTTTCCACAAAATAAATCTACCTAACTTACATGATCCACCCACCATCTCCCTTCCTCCGTTCCTCTCTTCCCCCTCTTTTAGAAATCAGACTGGGAGCTCTCTGAAGGCCGTTTTGAAGTTCGACTCGGGTAGGTACATGTAATCGAATAGGTACATGTAAGTTACTAGGGCTGGCTATTTGGACCGGGACCGGATGAAAAACCGGAAACCGGACCGTATAACCCGGACCGAGACCGGACCGGGACCGGATAGTAAACAATCCAATCCAATCCAATCTTTGGGCTTAGATTTGAGGTAAAAAATCGGATAAAGACCGGATAAGAGAGCTCAACACCCAAAACTTAAGGGTAATTTGCATAGACGGTCACAAACCTTTGCACTTAGTACAAAACTTAACCAACTCCTCACCCTTTTAGACCTTAGGCCACTCAAATTCCCACAATCTCAATATAAAATCAAGACCGAATTGGGACCGGACCGGGTCAAGACCGGACCGGATCAAGACCGGATTGTATCCAATCCAATCTTCGGTCCTTATATTTTCAAAAAAAAACCGGACTGGACCGGATCAATTTGGGCCAATTTAACCGGACCGGACCGTATAGCCACCCCTATAAGTTACGACATACATGAAAAGTCTGCTTTTTTATTCGTTACGAAGATAATTCGTAAATGACGACAAACCTCAATTCCTCATGTATACCCACCAAACTCACAAGAGTCGTTAACACAACCACAATGCGGATATTGAACACTTTTTTCACTAACCATATAAGTTCTCTCTAACCTCTACATATGTGTTAGATCAATAATCATCCTGGCAATCCATTTTTTGGAAACTCACACTCCTTGCTCCCAAATCATACCCAACATTGTAACCCTGCTGAGCCATCATCCCAATAATCGTCACACCCTTTGACCTAACCACAGCCAGGCAGAAAACATCATCCTTAACCTGCAAGAACATCCCAAACCGATCCAACACCAACTCCACCCCGCCGACGAACTGAATCCCCAGCGCCGGAAACCCTCCGGCATCTTTCTCCACCGTCCCTCTGAAACACAGCTCCAGGGGCCTCACCGGAGCCACCACCTTCAGCTCGAAGAAAGCCAACCTCTCAACCTGTAAAAGATTAAAAAGCTTAACAAACTCTCTGGGACTAAGTGGTTAGTTTGCCAAAATGGTATTAGAGTCTAGAACCAAAAGGTCGTGGTTTAGAATCCTTCGACCCCAATTTAAACAATAGTTTAGTACAAGAAATGATATGCTGAACCTATACAAACTAAAAGACTAATGATTTAACAGCACAAGGAATGATATGTTCAATCTGTGCAAACCGTATAAGGAAACCCAAAAAAAGGTAGGTTTTCGTTTGAAGAGGCGTGTAAGAAGAGATTAAAAAGGTTAACATATAATTTCTCAATAACTCGAGTTACCTCCGCCTTCACCACGTCGAAAGCTTCTGTGTAGAGCAGAAACAACTCCGACCCGCTGTCCATCACGATCTTGTTCTTCAAAGCCATCTTCGCGACCACGTCGATGTCTATGTCCAGCGTCTTCCCACCTAAGCTGATGCCGGAGAGGTGAACACTGTACCTGTAATATAACTTTGTCCAGTTACATAACACAGTACTCGCGTCGTATAACACAATACTACTCGTACTACAGATACTCTAATAGTACATACCTACCGTCATCCTGGAGGTACAGGGGAGTCATCTCGCCGATCAGGTCGACGGCGTCGCCGAAGGATAAGTGGTTGTGAGGGTAGTAGCGATCGGACAGGCTGTCGACGCAGTACGAGAAGCTGGTGCCCAATCGGGTGGCCAAAGAGAAATGGCCGTAAGGAATGGTGGGAGTGTCGGCTCCGGCGATTAACCCTAGAACGCCGTTGACGTGCGGGTCGAGGCCTTCGGGGCCGGTGAGCTTGGTGGAACAGCCGAAGAGGACTTTTGGGATGGTTGTGACGAAGCCATTGTTGGAGGTTTGAAAGGTTAGTTGCTCGGTAGCGTAGACTCCTTCAGAACTGTGGCCGCCTCTGTAGTCTATTGTGTACATGCAGTGCTTTTGCGACCATGGCCACCATCCTTTTTGAAGTTTGGCTCAAGAAAATCGGTTAAATTTGTAGAAACGAGTAAGTGAAAATGTTATAAACAGTTGGCTAGAAATAATTGAAGTTGTTGAAAAATATCAATTATTAATATTATATTATTTACTAACACTGCCTCTAAAATGAAATATGTATAATAATGTTTGGTATCAATAACTCGATTTGTTGGAATATGCTCAATTATAAATATTAGATAATTTACTAACACGACGTCTTTAACGAACAAGTATAATTTGTTCGGAACCAATAACTTGAATTGCTGGAATGTGTTCGATTATGAATATTATACCACTTACTACACACCGTTCAAATGAAAGCCAACTCATATTGCTTTGAAATTCGCACTTGTTCGAATATCACGTGCTTAATAAATGAAGGTTATTGGGATTTAAGCACAAGACCTCTCGGTCGACGGGTCATCAAAGGCACTGACACCATGGTAAGAATATTTTGATCACAACAACCCGAGTTGATATGTATCTTATATCACTCTCTAACATGTTAGTAAGTGGTTAAAATCTATACATGAATCTCTCCCAGCAACTCGAGTTATTGTGACCAAACAATTTATGACAATGATATCAAAGTTGGGTTGATCATGAGGTCACGCGTTCAACTCCCGGAGACCTCCAATGTTAAATGTTAATGACTTATATCTAACCACAAGGTATGTTGAATCTGTGCAAACTTCAAAGCTATATGAGCAGATTTTCGTTTAAGAAAGCGGATCAGAGAATGGTATTTAGATCAATAGTTAAATTTTTTCCAAACAATCTTGGAGAGTGGTATAAGATCAGTATTTAACTTTCTTCGTACAATTCGAGCTATTGGAATTAAACGGTTTCCTGACGGAAACAACTTGGAAAAATCAACATGAACCTAGTTGAAAATTCAAGTTACCTGTGCATTTCTTGCAGTCATGAGTACAAGGGAGTGGGGAGTAAGTCTTGGAATTGAAGGAGTAAAAGTAGGTGGCTCCAGAGCTGGTAGAGCAAGGACTGCACGGCGGGCATTTCACCCACAACAAGTCGCTGCCAGTGTCCATCAAGGCTAGTTGCGGCACCGGCGGGTCGCCGATGGAGAAATTGACGTAGAATATGTTGTACTTGGTCCCCCACGTCCCACTGGCCTCGATGTCGACACCCAGCGGCTCGTCGTCGTACGATGAGATCAGGTGACCGTAGCGGGCGAGGGTCGCTTCAAGGATCCTTCCGGCACGGTCGGCGATGGTCGCGGTGGCGTTGTAGAGGGGAGAGAAGTAGGAGTCGCGGTGGATGAGTTGAGTCGTGATTTTGAAGCAGTGGGAGAGGGAAGAGATGGAGAAAAAGAGGAAGAGAGTGATGATGAGAGGAGATGTTGTTCTTGGTGCCATGGCGTTGGAGAGGGGGAAATTTTGAGTGAAAGGGGATTTCTTTTGGTTTTCATTTGTAAGATTGTTGGGTTGGATATCTTTCTAGATTTTGCATCTAGTGAAAAAGGAAAATGAATGATTATGAAGTGATGAAGATTATTCCAAGTATAAGATGTGTTGTTTAAGAAAATTGATATAGAATTTCTAAGTATTACAGTTCTTTCCAATTTTGTGTTGTTATTTCCATGAAATTGTGGTACATTTCAAATTTGACATGTCAAATTTTTTTGCAAAGTAGGAATAGTTTTAATTTTTAGTTTTTAGAGCTGTTACAGAATTTCTATAGAAGTAGAGTAACTTAATTTAGTTTGTTCTACAAGTCATCGACAATATCAAACACTCTCGTTCGAATTTTTTTTTAGAGAGATGTGAATCAAACGTGTTAATATTAATTGTTGTTCAAAAAGTCGCAAGTACAACAATTAATATCTAAGTGAGATAAATTTCAAGTTATGGTGACTCTTGGAGTCTAGCGAGTTAATATATATGTATCGTTGATCAATAACATCATTGGTTTATGCATGGTGCACCTTTCGATCTCCAAAACTAGCTTGGTCGACCTGCACATCAGGACAATTAACCAAATAAGTACATGTAAGTTCCGATCGATATACATAATCTTCTTTTCTATTCGTTACAAAGAAAATTCGTCTACACAACGAAATATAATCATCATGTATACCCGACAAACTCATAAGAGCATCTAACACAAGTACAACGCGAATATTATATATGTGTTTTATCAAATATCATCGTTCCAAAAGTTGGCAATCCATTTTTTGGAAACTCACAGTCATTGCTTTCAGATCATACCCAACATTGTAACTCTGTTGAGCCATCATCCCTATAATGGTCACACCCTTTGACCTAACAATAGCCAAGCAGAAAACATCATCCTTAACCTGCAAGAACACCCCAAAACGATCCACAACCAACTCCACCCCGCCGACGAACCGAATCCCCATCGCCGGAAACCCTCGAGCCTCTTTCTCCACAGTTCCTCTGTAACACAGCTCGAAAGGTCTCGGCGGAGATGAGACCGGTGTCATCAGCTCCCAGAAAGCCAGCCTCTCGATCTCTGCCTTCAAAACCTCGAATGCTTCGATGTACAGGAGAAACAACTCCGACCCACTGTCCATCTCAATCTTCTTCCTCAATGCCATCTTCGCGAACACTTGCTTCTTGATGTCCAACATCTTGCCACCCAAGCTGATGCCGGAGAGGTGAACAAAGTACCTGCCGTCTTCGAGGTACAAGGGAGTCGATCCCCCGATCAGGTCGACGGCATCGCCGAAGGATAAGTGGTTGTGAGGGTAGTAACGATCGGACAGGCTACCGACGCAGTACGAGAAGCTGGTACCCAATCGGGTAACCAAAGGGAACTGGCCATCGGGGAAATCAGGATCGCCGGCTCCGGCCATCAATCCTAGAACCCCGTTGACGTGCGGGTCGAGACCTTCCGGCCCGCTCTGCTTGCTAGAACAACCGAAGAAGGCTTTTGGGATTGTGGTCACGAATCCATTGTTGGAGGTCTGAAAGGTCAGTTGCTCGGTGGCGTAGACTCCCTCGGAACTGTGGCCGCCCGCGTAGTCTATTTTGTATTTGCAGTGCTTTGGCGACCATGGCCAACCCCCTTTTCGTCACGCACATGAAAATTCGACAAATTCATAAATACGAATACGTAAAAAATTCGAAAAAAACTCAGTAGAGACTTCTTCAGAAGTACCTAATAATTTCTAGTTCGAGTAGCCGCGGTTAATCAAAACAAGTATAGATGAACCTTCTGCTTCTGTCAAATCATATATTAAAGTGAATTCTTTTACTGACATTTGAAAATTTTAAGATGTAAATGCTGTAAAATGACAAATATTCGTGGCAGGCGTGACTACAAGAAAAACGATGCGACCAAATCGACTATTTCGCTACAAGAACACATCAGCTTTTGCAACGAAGATATTCCTCGCCGAAAGGTTTACTTTCCGCCACAAACTTTACGGGAAAACCATCTTTTTGCGACGAATTTTCTTCGGTGCTGTCGCAAAAAGTCAGTTTTTTTTATTGTTTATATCTTTTGATGACCACTTTTTGGTTGTTAAAACTCGTTTTTTGTACAATGGATGCGTACCTGTGCATTTTTCGCAATCATCGGTGCAAGGGAACGGAGAGTAAGTCTTGGAATTGAAGGAGTAAAAATAGGTGGCTCCAGAGCTGGTGGAACAAGGACTGCACGGCGGGCATTTCACCCACAGCAAGTCGCTGCCGGTGTCCATCAGGGCCAGCTGCGGCACCGGCGGGTCGCCGATGGAGAAGTTGACGTAGAATATGTTGAACTTGATCCCCCAGATCCCTGGGGCCGCGATGTCGACAGCCAGAGGCCTGTCGTCGTCGTACGATGAGATCAGGTGACCGTAGCGGGCGAGGGTAGCTTCGATGATCCTTGCAGCACGATCGGCGGTGGTCGCGGTGGCGTTGTAGAGGGGAGAGCAGTAGGAGTCGCGGTGGATGAGCTGAGTCGTGATTTTGAAGCAGTGGGAGCTGAGGGAGATGGAGAAGAGGAGGAAGAGAGTGATTACGAGTGGAGATAATGGTGTTGTTGCCATGGCGCGGGGGAGAAGGGAAATGAAAATTCAGTGAAAGAGGGATTTGTTTGGTTTTGATTTGTAAGATAAATCTTTTTCAAATTTTGCATCTAGTGAAAAAGGCAAAAGTAGTAAATTTTCCAAGGATGATATGTGTTGTTTAAGAAAATTGGTACGCAATATCTTGAGTATTAATATTCTTTCTAATTTATGTGTTGTTATTTCCATGAAATTGTTGGTACATGTACTATAATTTTTTCTTTTAAGTTTTTTATTTTATGGTTAATCAAAAATAGCATTAAGCACGAGAGCATCATATACCGATAATCTCTTCATTCGCTTTACATGTTGGCCACACCCCAAGTAGGAATCATAATGGCTGGGTTGACATAGTTAGGTAATTTGACTCAATTGTCAAGACTCGTGTGTATTGGATCATATTCAAATAATAAACTCTTATGCTCTCTTAATGGGTTTGGATTGTGTCGGAACCCAGTTTATTTGGATCCAGATCATGGTAAATATAAAGAAGCAATATATATACTAACTATACCTTGTATATATAAAGAAGCAATATACTAACTATACGTTGTATTTAATTACTATTCATCAAATAATTCGTTATTAGGATATATAAAACTTATATTATGCGTAAGTCATGGGTTAGAAAGTAACATTTTGATATCTAGGTAAAATAAATATTAGCATAAAAACAGTCTATTAATCCATGCAAAAAGTTAATGAATCAAATATTAATAACAAGTTCTAACATAAAACTATGCATCCTATGAGAGGACCGCTCCTTGGCACCAAAGATAGATAACACAAAGATATGATTAAAGGAGAATTGAGCAGAATTAAGGGGATTGAAATTAAGAAACTTGCTTTGTGGAGTAAAATTCATGGCAGCAATGTTGTCCTATAGTTCCGCAATAGTTAATTGATTGGCCAATTTAATCTTCTTCTTCATGATATTATTAATCCCCCTTCCATAAAAAAAATAAAATTCCCATACTCCCCCCATTGGCTAGCGTTCTATCTATATATGATAGCCATAATAATGACTTCTGTTAAGTTTGATACTTTGTTAATAAAAAAGTTATTGGTGTGTTGCGGACTTGCGGTATTAATATGTATGAAATTTTATACGTTCATCTAAATTAATATAATGGCTAAAAGTTTGGTAGCAATAATAAAAATTTAGAAATTTATAATTTACAAATAAATTTAAATTTAAATTAACAAATTATCAATCTAACTCCTTAAAATAATGTACTAAACGTGTTATACATGTTTAATACTAATAATAAAAATTTAGAAATTTATAATTTACAAATAAATATAAATTTAAATTAACAAATTATCAATCTAACTCCTTAAAATACATGTACTAAACGTGTTATACATGTTTAATACTTGAAACTATTAAAAAACAGAAAATAAGGACCCAACTTTATAATAGTACGTTAATGAAAATTTGAAACACATTTAATAGAACATATGTATTAGATGGATATTGATCAAATTTTTACTAACTATTTTGGGGTCCTTAGACATGCATTCGGTTATGTCGTAGAAAAATGATGTTCCATATGATCTTTAACTTAACAATTCAAGAATATGATATATATTCATTCAAAGATAAAGGAATATGTTTAGCGCGTGCAAATAAAATATTGGTCTAAACTTTAATTTCTAATCCATTACTAATATCATTGCTCTTTTCTCAAAGAAATGATAAGCGCATGTAAAGTTCAAAGCCACTATGGCAAAAAGCAATTACAAGTTGTTTTTGGGAAAAAAATTTGTTCAAAAAATTCAGATCATCTATGTACATCGTGACAATACCAATTTACATGTATAACTTTTGCTTCTTAAATTGCATGATTTACTAAAAGTTTTCAGTTTTAGTTCAAGTATAGAAAATGTGTTTTGAAGACAACTTTATGAAGAAGAACCGTTACTCAATTCAACAAGATTCTTGCTAAGCTATTGATGCTATGTTCATCAGAGCCATTTCATTCTTCTATGTATATGAACGTCAAGCTATATAAAAATTTCTTACTTTATTAGTTTAGTAGTATTTGAGTTGTTAATGTTCATCTATTGGTGATTAGTCGGAATTGCCGGTGAAAAAACTATTCTCTTTAATCAAAGCTATTTTTTTGAAAAGTAAATTAGTGCTATCTTGATGTTACCTAATTTTGATATTCATGAAGTGATTGAGTTTCACTCAAGGTGACAATATAGTTGAAGTTCATATTAAGTTTAGTGTATAACATCACAAATTTCGTAACCGAAGTAATAGTTTCGAAGATTATTAATGATAGCAAAAAATAATCTCCAAGAAACATTTGTGAGTAGGATGAGGTAAACTGTTTTGTCATGAAAATGATATTTCATATATGATAATTATGTTTTATTTTTTGAATTTGCTTCACAAAAAAATGTGAAAATTGCATGTAAATAATGAAGGTAGTGCAGTTGATGATGGATATTATTGATAGTAAAGAGGTATTGATGCTGGTCATTTTGAAATACTTATAATATCGTGTCGCTAAGTTTATTATGAGTTGGTATATCCTTGCATAAGTCATATATTTTAAATTTCAACAAGAATATGAATAGAAGGCAACGATTACAACGTTAGTAATCTTTTATGATGGATGCTATTTTTCTATTTCCCAAGCAATTGAATATTTAACTTCATTGATGGTAAAAACTAAAAAGATTTCTTGCTATTTACTAAAAAATATATAATTGTTTGTTAATTTGCATGGCATTGACATATAATCGTGACACATAAGAGAAGATGAAATTACAGAAATTTAAATTTGGAACTTTGTTAATTACTGTTATCATATTGCAACCGGCCAACGGGCCGGGGTACTATCTAGTATTTAATTATTATTCATCAAATAATTCGTTATTAGGATATATAAAACTTATATTATGCGTAAGTCATGGGTTAGAAAGTAACATTTTGATATCTAGGTAAAATAAATATTAGCACAAAAACAGTCTATTAATCCATGCAAAAAGTTAATGAATCAAATATTAATAACAAGTTCTAACATAAAACTATGCATCCTATGAGAGGACCGCTCCTTGGCACCAAAGATAGATAACACAAAGATATGATTAAAGGAGAATTGAGCAGAATTAAGGGGATTGAAATTAAGAAACTTGCTTTGTGGAGTAAAATTCATGGCAGCAATGTTGTCCTATAGTTCCTTCACCTTTTTGACCTTCTCATAAAAAAAAAACAATTATGAACCATGAAAGGGATTTAAGAGAGAGAATTAATTAGGGATTAGAGAAGAGAAATTTGTCTAAATCAATTCCTTAATAATCCCAACGAAACGTCTAAATCACATAACATGATCTTCATTCCTAAACCCTAACCAAACTAACATACCAAAATACTAATCTACCCTTAGTACTAATTACTAAACCCAACATGCAGCCACGTCCAATCTACCCTTCCAAAAGCTGGCAATCAATGTCCTGAAAATAAACCCTAGACTCGTTCAAGTCATACCCAACATTGTAACCCTGCTGGACCATCATCCCAACAATGCTAAAACTCTCCGACCTAACAACCGCCAAGCAGAAGACTCCATCGCCGGCCTGAATGAACATCCCGCTACTCTCCACCACCAGCTCCGCGCCGTCGGCGAAGTGAAGCCCCAACGCCGGGAACCCTCGACCTTCTTTACTCACCGACCCACTGTAACAAAGCTCCAACCCCCTCCGTCCCCCAACTTCAGTAAGTACCGAGGAAGCCCGCTTCCGAACCTCCGCCTTCAGCACGTCGTAGGCCGCCGAGTACAGGAAGCTCAGCTCCGATCCGCTGTCGATGAGGATCCCTTGCACGTCGGAGATGTTCGCGAACACCTGCACGTAAATCAGAATTCGGTGAAAACTGTTGCGTATCATGACCGAAATCATATAGAATTTATATAGACCACAATGACTGACTCTTATAATAACATTAACGAATGTAGTGAAAATCGCGATTTAAAATTTAAAATTCATGTTTTTACGCTTCTAGTTCACCAAAACACTTCTATGCAAAATCATAGTTATTATGACTAATGTAGTTAAAAACGCGCTTTAAAAGTTAAAAGCTTACGTTTACACTTCTGCATCAGAAAAATGACGTAAAAACATGCTTTCGAATACATTAATCATAATACCAATATAAAAACTACCTAACTTCTACAACTATTGATAAGGAATATACCGCTGTCAAATTACGTAACAGTACTCGGACAGTAATAACGTAATACTACTGACTCGTACTACCCATACTCTAATACGCGTACCTGGCTCGGTATCCCCAGCACCTCGCCTCCGAGGCTGATGTTCTGGAGCCGGAGGAAGTAGTGGCCGAGATCGTTGGTGCGGAAGGGGGTCGAGTCGCCGGCCAGGTCGGCGTCTCCTGCTCCGATGGAGAGGCGGTTGTAAGGGTAGGAGTGGTCGAACACGTCGCCGACGCAGTAGGAGAAGACGGAGCCGAGCTTGACGACGAGAGGGGTCTCCCCGTAGGACATCTTCTGGATGCCGCCCAGTGCGAAGATTCCGGTGAGGATCTTGTGGAAGGGGTTGGTTCCGGTGAGGTTGGTGCTGCAGCCGAACTGGACGTCGGGGACGGTGGCGATCCCGTCGTCGGACGTGCGGAAGGTGAGCTGCTCGGTGGAGTAGATTCCCTCGGAGTGGTCGCCGCCGAGGTAGTCTAGAGTGTACATGCAGTGACTCGGCACCTTTCCTACGTAACGTACGAAGGAATGAGTCAGTAAATTTTATTTCCATCTAATAATCGGCGTGTAATTTGAAAAATCATATCGTCAGTTTGATCAGAAAAATCATCGTTCGTTAATCCGTTAAGAATTTCTTGTTTATATATAGATGACAATATTGAGCAATTACTAGCACTAGTATTAAATAAAAAATTAAAACGAATCACCACCATAATCAAACAATTAGACGCTAAAAGTTCATCGTATCATATAGGATTGAATCAACTAACATAATTATCATTGACACTACATTAGTCAACCCTGATCAACTATCATTGACTTTTCCGGTACGACCTCCCTTGTACGTTTTCCCCATACTAAGCTATCGAATTTTAGTCTACGTACGTAGAATGAATTAGTTAGTTACCTGTAGTGCACCTCCGGCACTGACTGGTACACGCCCGTGCGCTATAGGTCTTGGACAGTGACGGGTCGAACGGCGCGACGGCGCCGGAGCCCGACGAGCAAGGAGTGCAAGGCAGGCACTTCACCCACGTGAAGCTGCTGCCAGTGTCCATGATGGCCAGCTGCGGCACCGGCGGGTCGCCGATCGAGAAGTTGACGTAGAACGAGGCGTGGTCGATGACCGGCACCAGCGGAGCCTCGATGTTCACGGTATCCTCGTCCGACGAAGTCGTCGTCGACGACGAGATCAGTGATGCATGGCCGGCGAGATATGCATGGCGGGCGAGGGATGCCTGCACCGATCTCTCTGCACGGTCGGCGGCGGTTGCGGTGGCGTTGTAGAGCGGGGAGAACCGCGAGTCGCGGTGGATGAGAGGAGTGGTGATTTTGAGGGCGTGGGACGACGACGATGAGGCGATGAGTACGAAGAGGATGATGAACAGATTTAGAGTTCTCATTGTTGAATGAAAGAATATCTTTGGTGCAAAGTTAAGAGTTGGCGTTGATCGATAACGAGAATGGTTACGTTCGTTATATATAGTGAGCTTTCAGGGGGTGGGGGGGTTTAATTCTTTTCCTTGTTTGCATGAGTGTAAGGAAAAGGGCACGAATGTACTAATGAGTAAGTCATGAAAAGAGCTGTTCAGGAATATATGAATTGGCCTTGAACAGTTTGTTACTTTTTCCATGTGAATAGTCTAAGATTCGAATAATCAATGTAAGAATATAGTAGGGGTGGCTATACGGTCCGGTCCGGTTAAATTGGCCCAAATTGATCCGGTTCAGTCCGGTCTTTTTGAAAATATAAGGACCGAAGATTGGATTGGATACAGTCCGGTCTTGATCCGGTCCGGTTTTGATCCGGTCCGGTCCCGATTCAGTCTTGATTTTACATTGAGATTGTGGGATTTGAGTGGCCTAAAGCCTTAAAGGGTGAGCAGTTGGTTAAGTTTTGTACTAAGTGCAAAGGTTTGTGACCGTTTATGCAAATTACACTTAAGTTTTGGGTGTTGAGCTCTCTTATCCGGTCTTTATCCGGTTTTTTACCTCAAATCTAAGCCCAAAGATTGGATTGGATTGTTTACTATCCGGTCCCGGTCCGGTCTCGGTCCGGGTTATACGGTCCGGTTTCCGGTTTTTAATCCGGTCCCGGTCCAAATAGCCACCCCTAGAATATAGTGTTGGTTCATATAGACATGGAAAGTCTTGAAAACAATGTGCCTAAAGAACTTCTTTTCCGTATGTTATCAGGAGTGAGGATTACTAATAAAGGATAGTCTACATGATGGTAATTTTGACTCGATTGAGCCTATAATTGAATTGTATTGTAGTATGTCTACAAGAGTTAAAAAAATATTTCGAGAATTTGACGATGTGAAATCGAGATAGAAGGTTAATCTCATGAAATCATAACTAGGTCTGGAAATTTGTCAACAACATATCATATATATGCACAGTTTATAGTCCAAGTTGAGTGGTTAGAACGTACGTAATCAAAGCAAACCAAACATGATATGGTCCAGATTAGACATGCGCGGCCTGGTCCGATACAATGCAAATCATATTGAGTGAAAAATGAACATTTTATCTGGTATGCTAGACCGAAAATCAGAGGGAAACCCTTTTTTTCTCCTTGAAATCTAAACCAAAACTTGTAACCGCATCACATGTGTTGTATTGCTATGTTAGTAAACGGTATATGATCCACGATTGAACCTCTCCTAACAACTCGAGTTATTGGAATCAACTGGTTCTTGACATGCTGATCACTCGATCACTGCACTACATATAAAATATATAAAATTGCACTATGGAGCAAACAAAATAAAATCATATGTAGTCATGTTCAATCTACTACCCTTCCAAAAGCTGGCAATCAATGTCCTGAAAATAAACCCTAGACGCATTCAAGTCGTACCCAACATTGTAACCCTGCTGCGCCATCACCCCAACGATACTAACACTGTTCGACCTAAGAACCGCCAAGCAGAACACATCCTCCTCCACCTGATAGAACATCCCCGTATTATCCACCACCAGATCCGCGTCGTCGGCGAAGTGAAGCCCCAGCACTGGAAACCCTTGCGCTTCTACGGTCACAGAGCCTCTGTAACAGAGCTCGTACGCTCCCTTGCCGCCGGGAACTTCGGTGAGCACCGAGGAGGCCAGCTTCTGCACCTCCGACTTCACCACGTCGAAGGCGTCGGTGTACAGGAAGCTCAGCTCCGATCCGCTGTCCAGAGTGATTCCTTGTTGGTTTGAGATCTTGGTGAACACTTGGCTCGGTATGTCGAGTACCTGTGATGGCGGAGTTAGGAATGTTAGGGTGAGGAGTGGACTGAAAGAGGGAAGCTCATGTAGGATCGATTTACAAAACTGACCCGTCCCATCTCTGTTTCCTCCTTGAACTAGTTGCCTGACCCACTTGGATCAGGTCGAACCGAGTCAATAGGTCAGTTCGATCGATAAATTGTTTAGGAAAATTAAATTTTTTGGGTACCCATATATTTTTTTAATAATTTAGTACCTTTTTTTTTACAACAGATTCAAAAGTTTTGATGATAAAATTACGTTTTCGTACTTTATATTTTTACCGTGCGTTATAGTATCTGAACTTTTAAAACTCTATGAACAATTCCAATTTTGTTAGTATGCATAATTTCAAACCACTAGTTGTTGCTATGAGTCGTAGAGCCAAAGGTTGACCCAACCAAAGTTGACTCGACCCTACTCGATCCTTACAACATGACCAAAACTTAACCAGACTTTAAGCTGACTCTGTAGATAAATTGACCCAATTGAACTGACTTATAGTCCTAGAGCTAATAGTCTCCATCCTATCTTTTCTTCTTTTTTTTTTTTCATCAAATATCCTACCACATTCTATGATATCTCAAAATAAGAATATACACATTATAACCTAAAATCAAAAATCAAAACTACTTGAGAATGGCAATAGCCCCTTTTAGCTACTTACCTGGCCTCCCAAGCTGATGTTCTGAAGTTGGAGAAAGTAGTGGCCGATGTGGTCGGTGATGAAGGGCGTCGAGTCGCCGGCCAAGTCTGCATCGCCGGCGCCGATGGACAGGCGGTTGTAAAGGTAAGAGCGGTCGAAGATGCTGCCGATGCAGTACGAGAATACTGAACCCAGTCTGACGACCAGAGGCGTCTCTCCAAACGGCAGGCTTCGTTTCCCGCTCAGTGCTAGGATTCCGGTGGCGTGCTGGTCGGGCTTCTTGATTCCGGTCAGGTTGTGGCAGCAGCCGAACTGGACGTCGGGGACGGTGGTGACGCCGTCGTCGGAGGTGCGGAAGGTCAGCTGGTCGGTGGAGTAGACTCCGGAGGAGGAATGGCCGCTGAGATAGTCTATTGCGTACATGCAGTAACTGGGTCCCGTTCCTATTAGCAAATTAACTTCTTTAGTAAATTTTAGAACTAAGTTAGTTGTTTGTGGGGTTTTTTTTTTTTTCAAAAAGATACTTCGTATTGAACGAAAAAATCGAGATAAACTAGAGTCAGTTGGTCGACCAGAGCCAAGAACGAAAATCGAGCCCTATCAAATTAGGGAACAATCAAATGGTTTTTTTGGCCATCCTATTATGAGAACGATCGTTTATGCGTCAAAGTATAAAAGATATATACAATACACTAATTTAGGAAATGAATTTATTACTAACAATAAATAATTTCAAATTCATATCCTTCATCATTAAAAAGTTGTAACAAACCGTCTCATGAAAAATTTATTAAATTCAAATTAGTAAATAGAGTCACAATTGATAGTAGAGCTATGTAAAATCGACAAGGAGGCTGGAAAATGAAATAAAAAATAAATAAATAAAACATATATAAAATTAACGATTCATATTGGACGGTCTTAGTTTACATCAAATTAAGTATCTTTGTTTATTAATGATTTTACGGTTAAAATAGCGGACCAGTGAATCACTCAAACCGAGCTGATTCATCTGATTTCGTGTCCAGCCGTTAAAACTCGTTAGCTCCCTTCCTAGCCAGCGAAACAAACAGACCAAACCCACTAACATAACTGGTTTGAGAGCTCTACTGATTTAGCCGCTTGTCACGACTGTTTCAATGAATTGGAAAATTGAGCAAGAAAAAGAAAGCAAAAAACTAAATAAGACACACGTGATTCACTAACATGATGTGTGTTAATGATGTGTACGTGTTAGTTAGTGTATGAACAAGAATCAATGTCACGTCTTATGGCACGTCTCATACATATCAAGTGTTTGGTAGAATCAATTAATTACCTGTAGTGCACCTCCTGCACTCTTTGGTACACGGCCGTGGCGTGTAAGTCCTGGACTGCAACGGATCAAAGAACGTGGCCCCTGATCCCGGCGACGGCGAGGAGCAGAGATTGCAAGGCAGGCACTTCACCCACGAGAAGCTGCTGCCGGTGTCCATGACGGCAAGCTGCGGCACCGGCGGGTCGCCGATGGAGAAGTTGACGTAGAACAAGTTCTGGTTGACGGCCAGAACCAGTGGGGCCTCAATATTGTCATTATTCCCAGCTGCCGCGCCCTGATCGTCATCCGACGTCGTTGATGACAGGGACGACGCCAGCTGGAGGCGGGCGAGGGAAGCTCGCACCGATCTCTCTGCTCGGTCGGCGGCGGTCGCGGCGGCGTCGTAGAGCGGAGAGAACCGCGAGTCGCGGTGGATGAGGCGAGTGGTGATTCGGAGGGCAACGGATGGTGTGGAAAGGAATAGGAAGAGAGTGATGAGTAGATGTAGAGCTCTCATTGTTGAATGAAATAATAGAAAATTTCTTTGCAATTTTGTAAGCTGGTGTTGACTATATGGTTTGTGAAACCGTACGGTACTAACAGTTCAACCGTGAAATATTAGTATTGTAGGCTAAACCGATAGGTGATAGTATTAGCAGTTGAATCACGATTTCACTATAAAATGTCCCACCGACTGACTTTTGTTTCCCTCATTAAGGAATGCCCAAATGGTAATGAGTAATGCCCATTAAGATTCTGATACAAAATAATTTTGAATTTAAGGTAATTATATATAGGGAATAGATTTGATGAAATCCATCTTGGTTATGCGAGGACAAAAGAATTGTAGAACTAATTGAGATTAGCGAATCAATAAAAAGATCTCTATAGGAAGATAATTAGCCTTAACAACAGCTTACTTTCCATGTGATAGTTTAGAACTCAGAACGATCAATGCATGAATCTTGATTCATACTTGGAAAGTCTTGAACGGGAAGTCGCTCGATCCATATAACGATGGTTTTTGTTCACATAATGACAATGTAAACTATGCCCACCTCTTTCAAACTACATATGTACAATGGGAATGCGTTAACCTGGTTACTCTTTCTTAAGTAATCATCGTGGCTACCCTAAATCTAGCCATTGAGATTAAGTGAATTGAATCTGATGGGCCATCTTGCTGGAGGAGCTAAATCAATGGGCTTTTTTCCTATTCGAATCTTTCATTCTTTTTTGTTTTTCTTCCTCAGCGCCTCTCCCAAGAACGGTTGAGGAAGATCGCCGTCGTTCCTATTCCCTCTCCCGCCATCCACAGTCCCTCTCCGGCGCCAGAAGTTCTCTTCCGTCGCCGCAATCCCTCTCCCGTCACCGCAGTCCCCCTCCGGCGCAGCGAGAGACGTTTCGGCAACTGGTTGTTTCGTTGTTGTGGGATCGGCGGGAGTTCTTCAAATCGTGTTGTAAACGTGTTGTGATAGCGCGCTTTATTGTATAGACATTGCATGTTCTTCAAATCGTATAAATCTGAGTTTTATTTTCTGTGGAATGATATTCTTGCGTTTTTGTATATGTGCGATTGTGATAGTTTGTTTGGCATGGATTGGTATATGGTCGTTTGGTATTGAATAGTATTAGGTTGCTTGCAAAGATAGTGGTCAATTTTGGTAGTGATCTAGGTTCTAGGTTGTTTGGAATGGTAGGTTCTTCCCATGCATTGGTAGTAATCTGCAGACCTGTGAAGTTTGGTGTGGAATTGAAGTTTTTAGTTAGAATGGTAGATTTCATGTTGTTTGGAATGGTAGCTTCTTTTCATAAATTGGTAGTGATCTGCAGAATTGTAATGTTTGGTGTGGAATGGTAGTGTTTAGTTGGAATGGTAAGTTTTTTTTTTCTCGCATTGGTAGTGACCTGCATACCTGTGATGTTTGGTGTGGAATGGTGGTGTTCAGTTCCAGTAGTAGTGTGGTGTTCTATGCAACGGTAGTAGTTTTGTGTGGTATGGTAGTGTTCAGTTCCAGTAGTAGTGGTGGTTACCTTTTCATACATCACTAACATTGGTTAGTGTTGCTACCTTCCATTTTTTGGTTTTAGTAATGGCGAAAACCAAGAACCCAAATCGTGGGGCTTCAAAGAGAAAGAAACAATGAATAACTACCATTGCAGTAGGTCATATTACCACAAACAAAACACTACCGTTACAGTATCTGATAACTACAGTGTGGTAACTACCATTGCAATTACTAATCACTACCATAGCAACTGATAGGAAACCACGCCACCATCATGCACCCACGTAATACAAATACTAATAGAAGTATAGAACCACTACCAATGTGAAATGACAAAGTACGCCACAATACCAATCCAATATAGGAAATACCAATGCTAATCGAACTACCAATAATATTCCAACAAATACCAATACAGAAGCTTCCATTCCCACCTCCTTCGGAACTGTCCACTCCGACGCCTACGTCACCGGTCGGATCTCGGTCGATATCTGACCCTGTCCAAGAGGTTGCCAACAAAAACGGTGTTAAGATTTTGCCGTTCAACGAAAGCATACAATTAGGAATGAGTTAGAATAGCGGTTAGATGCTTACTGTCGTCCCTTTCCATTGTCGTTCTCGTCTCCTCTCTGTCCTACGTCGTCCCTTTCCATTGGTTTTACCCGAAATCGGATCGTATAAACTGAATCGAGACTGGACCGAGACTGGATAGTAAACAATCTAATCCAAATTTTGGGCTTAGATTTGAAGTAAAAAACCATTCGGGACCGGATCGAAAACTGAATAAAGATCTGATAAGAGAGCTCAACACCCAAAACTTAAGGGTAATTTGTATAAACGGTCACAAACCTTTGCACTTAGTACAAAACTTAACCAACTACTCACCCTTTCAGGCCTTAGGCCACTCAAATCCCCACAAGCTAAATATAAAATCAAGACCGAATTGGGACCGGACGGGGCCAAGACCGGATTGTATCCAATCCAATTTTTGGCCTTATATTTTCAAAAAGACCGGACTGGACCAGATCAATTTGGGCCAATTTAACTGGACCGGACCGTATAGTCACCCCTACTGATTTGGGTCTAGGGATGGCAATGGGTCGGGTTTTGTCAAACCCAAACCCATGGGTTTATTCGTGAAAAAAACCCGGGGTAAACCCCACTAGGTTTGAAAAACTCAAACTCAACCCAACCCGCTGGGTATCCGCGGGTTCATGGGTACCCATGGGGTTTTGTCGTAAAAAATTTACAATAACAAGTTCCTATCAAAATAAAAGTCAAATATCAATCTCTCAATACAAATTATCCATATATAAAACACCATTCTAGAAAATTCAAGCAAACCACAAATTAACCATACAAATTGTTCAACACCAATCTAGAAAACTCATGAATTTGAAACAAATCACAAATTATCCATAAACAACATAATTAATTGAAAGCTTTTTCCTCCTTGTCAATTAAACTTCTTCACTCTCTACTCGATAATATCAACTTCATTCTACACAATTAGAAAGAAAAAATTAGGCATATCTCCACAAACATAAAGAAGATTAGTTGTTTAGAATATTAAATATACCGGAAAAATTAATTATATGAGTGTGGGCGGGTACCCATGGGGTGGGTTTACCTAAACCCAAACCCAACCCGGTAAATAGTAAACGGGTTTAAACCCAAACCCGCCTCAAAACCCATCAACACAGGTTTTATCCGCGTTGACCGGGTTGACTCGGGTGGATACCCGTGGGTTTGGGTTTTGTTTATTTGGGTCAGGAGGAATTCCAGTCAAAGAAGGAAAACGCCAATTTGAAACACATTCGGACTCCTATATAAGCTCGAGCTCCGCCGGTAAAAATTTTCACGAACAGAGCTCTCATCAATCCAATCACGACGATGGCGGATTTCGGCAACAACGAAATGCTGGGACTGTCCCTCATAATACTCAGCTGCTGCTGCATCCATCTATTGATCGTCTTCCCCGAACATTCCCCCGAGCTCTCCTCATCTCCACTGCCGCCGCCGCCGCTTCCGCCGCGTGGCCTGATCCCGCCCAACAGAAACAACCCAACCGTGTCCAAAATCGTGGACGCCCTCCTCTCCCGCGGAAACTACTCCGCCTTGGTCCCCGACCTCGTATCCAAATTCGCGGCGGCGGAGGTGCTCTGCCGCATCGACGGCGAAATCACCGTGTTCGTCCCGCGGGACGATTCCACCTACCGGTTCTGCGAATCGGAGCGGCCCGGGGTCCGGATCGTGACGTCACGGGTGGATCGGGAATCCTTCGGCCAACGGGGCCGTCCCCTGAGCCACGGATCCGTCCGGCGGACCTGCGGCAGAGAGAGCGAGATTCGGATCGGGACCTGGAGAAATGTGCAGGCGGAGGTCAAGGATTGGAATCTGTACGACGACGGGCGCGTGTTGGTGCACGGATTCGGCGGGGAGCTCACTCACAACCTCGTGACGGCGGTTGAGAGACTCACTATCTTGGGTCTGGTCGAGCAGAGGAGGGACCCGCCGGGGATTCTTTGCCGGAGCGTGCCGCCGGAGCTCGTCAATAGTTTTTCCTACTTGCGGAGGGTGGATGGCCGTTGGTGGGATTGTGATGGGCAAGTAGTCTGGTACTGTCAGATTCCTATATTATTGAGGGAGATTCTCAAGTGATTCGCTAATCCGCTGATTCAACAACCAAACAACTCTCACACCATCCTCATTGCGCATATTGTTACAGTACCATCATAATCAGCTTTCATCACGTTCAATTTTTATCTTTCAACGTGTAAATAGAACTGCACATCTTTATAACGAAAATGACATTATAACAATCCTCTATTTCTGCATTTGATTTCCGATTCTGGCTGAGAGTAGTAACAGCAAAGGCCGAGATATTTTGATTTATCAATAAAACACGACTCTGTGCCCTCAAAAAAAAAAAAAAAAAAAAGTCCTCTTGTTTATTCATAGTGGCCAAAATTTCACAGGTTGTTGTTTATAAGCAGTGGTATAGAATAGACAGAGTAGACCCGCGCCAACTTAGCTGGTGGGTTGGGTGTTTATCTCTCTCTCTACCGTACGAATCCTATCTCTCCCTTCCTCCCTCTCTCCCTCTCTCTCCCGTCCTACATCAAAGTTCAAAGTACCACTCCATGTAAGAACAAAAAAGGAAGGAGCAGAAGTAGAAAAGAACAGAGCTTTACACCCACCATCGTCTCTCCACCGATCCCTTCTGCCCAAAAGGGGGAAAACCATGGAAGGAGGGGAAGGCAGCAGGGGGAGCAGCTCTGTGAACGAGAAATTCAGGGCCTTTGCCAACAACAGATGGATGGTCTTCGTCTGCTCAATGTGGTACAATCTTGCGCAGGGATTGGGTACATGTTTGGGAGCATTTCGCCTGTGATCAAGGCTACCATGGGTTACAACCAGAAGCAGGTGGCCTTGCTTGGAGTCGCGAAGGATTTGGGTGACAGTATCGGGGTTTTGCCCGGGAGTTTGATCGAGATTCTGCCCGCCTGGGTTGTGCTGCTGATTGGTGCTGTCCAGAGCTTTCTTGGGTATGGCTTGGTTTGGCTGATTGTCACCCACAGATTGCCTCCTCTCCCTCTCTGGGTGGTGAGTTTCTCTCTGGTTGTGTGATTGTCTCTCTATTCCATTCATTTCGGTTTCCGGCGGCGTTTGTGAATTAGTGGTTCATGTTGAATTGTCTCAAGTTCAATTAATGACTTGCGTGGGGAATTTGAAGATGAACTTCTCTATGGAGTCAATGAGTTAATTGTGGGATCATCCGGGGAGATTCATCCAACTGGTATTCTAATGCTGTACCCCACTGTGATGTTGACCCTCCACCGAATTTTTGAAATGTTTGTTTAATTTGTCTTTGTATGGCTGGGCTAAGTCTTTTGGAAGATGGTTGTTCCTTTGGTTTCTGTTCTGGTTAGGAGTAGATGTTCTCTACTGGGTTTGTGCAACAGGAGCTCAACTTTGTTGTAAATGATGCGTCTGATTGATGATTCACTTGTTCTGTAGTTTCTATCTACCTTGAAGTTTAGTGCAGGCCTAATTCAGAGTTGACTTGGTTATGGTGCTTTGTGGGAAAAAGGGTTTCTGCTTGGGGATTCATGTTGTTTTTGCAGCAATGCTGACAGTAAGAATTCTGGTTTGCAGCTGTGTGCAGCTATATTCGTTGGAACGAATGGCGAGACCTACTTCAACACAGCAGATATGGTTTCTAGTGTCCAGAACTTCCCCAAGCACCGTGGTCCTGTTGTTGGGATGCTGAAAGGATTCGCTGGGTTGAGTGGTGCAATTCTGACTCAGGTGTATGCCATGATCAATATTCCCGACCATTCGTCGTTGATCTTCATGGTGGCAGTTGGCCCAACCATGGTGGCTATTGCGCTGATGTTCTTTGTTAGGCCTGTTGAGGGCCACAAGCAAGCGAGAGAATCAGACGGTTCAAGCTTCTCATTTGTCTACGCTGTTTGCGTTGTTCTTGCAGCATATCTGTTTGGCATCTTGATAGTGAATGATATTTATGATCTGAGCCACAATATGGTTACGTTGCTCACTGTCATATTGCTCGTTATCGTGTTACTTCCTGTTCTGATTCCAATCAAGTTGGTTTTCTTCTCTGAGCCAGAGTCCTCAATAGTTGATCCCCTTCTTTCCAAGGTAGAAAAACAAGTAGCAACTAGACATCCGCCAGAGCGATTAGGGAGCTTTGTCTTAAGTGAAAGCGAAGATGACAACGGCGAGGGGGGTTCTCTCTCAATATCGGAGAGGAATAAAAGAATGGCTCACTTGCAAGCTAAGCTATACCAAGCTGCAGCAGAAGGAGCTGTGAGGGTGAAGCAGAGAAAAGGCCCACGTAGAGGGGAAGACTTCACATTAATGCAGGCATTAGTGAAGGCTGATTTCTTGCTTATCTGGTTCTCTCTTGTTCTTGCTGCTGGATCTGGACTTACTGTCATTGACAACCTGGGTCAGATTTGTCAGTCTCTGGGTTATGATGATGCCAATATCTATGTCTCAATGATGAGCATTTGCAACTTTCTCGGTCGTGTCGCTGGTGGCTACTTCTCGGAAGTCGTTGTAAGGTTGTATGCTAATCTCTTCTGATTAAACATGCAAATTCTCTCCAACTGTCCTTTTGTTTTCTAATCGAAAGCTGGACACTATGCTTTCATGTACAGAAAATTTGCATATCCAAGAGTGGTGGCTATGGCTGTGGTAGAGTTCACCATGGCAATGGGACTATTCTACTCGGCCATGGGATGGCCGGGACAGATTTATGTGGTGAGCATTGTCATAGGGCTCACCTACGGCGCCAATTGGGCGATCGTGCCTGCAGCAGTATCCGAGCTATTCGGGCTGAAGAGCTTTGGCGCCTTGTACAACTTCCTTAATCTGTCGACTCCTGCCGGTTCTCTTGTGTTCTCCGGTGTCATTGCCAGCAGGATATACGACTACTACGCCGAGGTACAGGCTGGCCTCCACACACTTAATTCAGCTGCATTGCTTGGAAAGCCTCTCCAGGAGGAGGAACCTCTCAAGTGCATGGGCTCAATATGTTTCTCCTTGACATTCGGGATCATGGGTAGTCTCTGCATTGTCGCGATGGTTGTGAGCTTGGTTGTGGTTCGTCGGACCAAAGGCGTCTATGCTCAGCTTTATGGGAAATCTCTCGCCTGAGAGTATTCATCTGCTGCAGATTTCCCCCTTCAGATGTGTTTGAGACCAGCAGAAGCTAGTGTCCCTCTTTAATGAAAAAGGTTGGAGGGGGTAAAGGGTCAAATATTGAAATTCTCCTTTCTCCTTTGATGGGCAGTTCACCTTCCAACCCCAAACCTCTCCTCATATGTGTTTCAGAGTTCTTCCACATTTGTGCAGTGCATTACCCGGAGAGTGATCTGCTTGTTATCGTTGCGCCCTTTCGTTCGTTCGTGATTACGCCTGTAATGTTCATTGATCAACTCTTGGTGTTGTAATCAAAGTCGTCCCGTTCCATCGTGATTTGTATGTGTAATTACCTTGTCAATTAAATCAGAGATTTATCAAAAGCGAGGAGAAATTGAAGAAATTTGATCTCAAGCAAGAAAACAGAGTCCCCGGAGGCAGGGGAGCAAAAGCATTCCAAACTACTATCCATATTGAGACACACAATTGATGACAATCCACACCTATCACATTAACTAACGATTTCGCGTCAATAACTCGAATTGTTGGTAACGAAGCTACGATTCGTTCTTATTTAGATCTCCTTTCAAAATGCTGATGCTTTTAACCTCATCAACTCTTCCTTTCTCTGCGTGTCGAGCGTGACCAACTCCAGCCTCAGATCCTGCGAGTGCAGCCGCTGATGCGCCGATTGCAACGACGAGGCGCCCAGCCATCGCAGGCTTCGCTTCACCACTTCCATGGCGGCGAGCATCAACTCCTCCTGATTCTCCACCACTTGATCATCTGCTTCATGATCAGTACCACCAGTGGCTCTGCTCTTGATCAGTACAGAAGACGCCCCTAGAAGCAGAGCCTTCGCCACGTGGCCTGGCTTGGATATGTCCACCCCATCTGCCATTACTGGGATGCCACTTTGCGCTGCTACGGCAGCCACTTTGTACACCGCACTTGCCTGCAACTTATACCGTCAAAATCGCGATTCTATGTAGAAGTAGTGTTCGGATAACTTTGATGCATAAAAAACAGACCTTTTGGTGATTTTTGAAATGTAAAAGTCTATAACTTTTAAGTTTTAAAGCGCAATTTTGATTGCATCGCATACAATGAATTAGTGAACATATAAATTACCTGGCATCGCCGGGACCCAACTCTCAACCCATTGGCGCCGGCGGCGATCAAATTCCGGGCCTGGTTCGCCGTCACCACGTCCCCACCGGCAACCACGTCTAAATCGGGATACTTCCGCTTCACGTAATTAATCATCTCAATCTGCCGCCGAGTGTCGCCGCCGTCCAGAACAACCACGTCAGCGCCCGCTTCCACCAACTCCTCCAGCCGATTCTCCGCTGCCTCGTCCTCCGTCCCAATCGCCGCCGCGACCATCCGCCGCGCGGGATTCTCGGGGCGGCGGAGGGATTTCAGGGAGCGTATCAGCTCGGTGGAACGGCCGACGACGACGACGAAGGGGAACGAGATGGGGACGTTGCGGGATACGGCGGCGGCGATGGAGACGGCGGCGGCGGCGGATGAGGAGAGAGGTGGTGGGAGGAATACGACGTCGTCGTACTCGTACGAGGATGGGCCGTTGGCGCGGTGGTTGAAAAGGTCATGTGCGCTGAAGCCGTCGTCCTCTGCGATTCCTCCGTCTTCCATTGATGTTCTGCGGAAGTTATTTTTTTTGGCGGGTGAGGCGGCGAGCCGTTAGGGTAAGGAGGGAGAGTTGGAGTAGGTTAACAAGAAGGTTTCTGAGATTTATGCCTTTGGATGAAGAATAATAGTCCTAGTAGGAGTCGGACTCTTAAGAGTAGTTGGCATGGTGCTCTGATGTTGATAAAATAGGGGATTAAGTGGTCAAGATCGGATTAGCGATATTTTTAATGTTATAGTACAAACTCAACTGATATTTAGAAGTATTACAAGAATCAATGCATTAAAATTAAAATTTTATCGCCTTAAAATACTATAAATTGACATATTTATCCGTAGTGTGAATTTCTAACCTAAACACTAAAACAAGCAATCCCTAACTCCCTCACCCCAAAACCCTACCCCACAGCTCGATTGACGAGTGAACATTGAAGGGTGTTTGTGTGGTGATGACGACGATGATTGGGACCTCCGATGAAATCGTTGGAGTTTGACGACAAGTGAGCAATGAAGAGTTTTTGTGTGTGAGTTGTTTTTCTTATATGGTGTTGTTTTGTAGATTGTATTTTGTTATTTGATGTAATTGTATATGTTTGTTTTAGAATGACAGAATAAGATATTTTGGTACGAGTAATAGACTAATAGTAACACCCTTCTCATTTCGTTGATCCAAAAAAAGTCACTAGAGCTAATTTGTATTTTAATAGTACATTGGCTTTTCTCATTTATTACTTTTATTAGGGAGTTGCATGACTACTAATCTAACATATATTGAAAACTTGGAACAACCTCAATGATCAGTTGTTGTGTTTTGATGATTAGTTTGTTCACACAAATTGCATTTTAAGAGGGTTAATCACATAAATGGTCCCTATACTTTGGGGTAGCTGAAAAAATCAGCAATAAGATTTTAAGTTTTCAACAAACTTCTACATAAATTTAGAATAATTAGTACAATAATCTCTCCGTACATGTCCTCCGAAATTCTACTTAAATAATCAAAATTGACTTGTCAATTCCAAATTTCATCATAAAACAGAATATAAGTTTCTAATTATCTCGTATAAAGCACTCATTTTAATCGGCACAAGATTTAAATCAAGTCAAATACTCAACCTAATTATAATTTATATTACTCAAAACATCAAAATTCCTCTCTCGCCCTACTCGATAACAAATAACAGGGTCCATATAACTGTTTTTCATTATTAATTGGATAAATCCACACATATATGAACAAGGTGAGTAGAAAAGAATGAAAAAAATGACCATTATCTCAGTTATTTCAAGATTCAATGATAAAAATTTATCAAATAAAATAAGTGACCAATTTGTTAGTATCTCCAAAACTCAGTAGCTGTTTTTGCAATTTACCAGTAGCGTGTGCATTTCATTCAACAGCGGAACACGTGAGGAATGCTTGCAAAAGCTCGAAGAGATCGACAAAGACGTCATCTTTAAGGCTGACCACAAAACAAACAAAGTTGGCTCCTTTCCCCAAAGTAGTGGATTGATCATTGATGGGGTTTTCATCCTTTCGAGAGTTCTTTCTTTTTATACCCTTTTGTTTAATGCCATTCGCTGCAAACAACAGTCTTCTCTTTATATAACACCCCACTGTTGAGTGGTGAGTCAGTCTTCTCCCCAACCAAAGGAAACCTCAGTACCCTTCTTTCTCTGAAAACATGGCCAATCTCAGCTGGGGGATTGGCTGGCTCAAAACCTTCATTGTTGCAGTTAGCCTTTATGCTGCTGTTGTTGCTGCAAATTTTGGGGACTCAGCTGCCCAGAGGCAGCTAGACAAGGTTTTGGAGCTACCAGGTCAAGACTTCGATGTCAGCTTCGCCCAGTGGCGGAGGGAGAGGGTAACAGGGTGGGTCCCGGGGCCCACCCTGGTTCGGGAGAAATGGTTAAATTATGTACGATAGTTAATTGATATTGAAAACTAGGTCGCATTTAATTGAGAATAGTTGGTCGAAAAGTTTTGTGTTTGAATCTTGGCGACCTCATTTCTTAAACATACAGTATACAGATTTGTGCAAATATCAATTTTGTATAAGTTGACTTTCTTATAAGGGAGCATGGTGGTATAATATATTATTGAAATCTTCCAACACCTCGATTTATTGATACTAAATATTTGTTTAGGAACATCATTCGAAAGCGAACGACTAGGTAATTCATGAATTATTGGTTGGTATAAGATTTATTATTAAACCTCTATCAACAGCTCGAGGTATTGATACTAACAGTTCTTAACAAAAAACACCATTTGAAACACTAAGACTAACTAAATCAATGATTGTTTGGTATATATGCAGAGTGATATTCTTAATATTTTCGATTACTAATGCATTTTAATTTATCAAAAAATTTCAACGTAAGATTATATTAAAAAAACTATTTTATCATATTTATTTTTTTCGAGGTGGACCCACCTTAAACGAAATCCTGGCTACGCCACTGGCTTCGCCCAATATTCTGGGTATGTTACAGTGAATGAGAAGGCTGGGAGGGCTTTATTCTACTGGTTCTTTGAAGCTGTTGAGGATCCTGAGTCCAAGCCTCTCATACTCTGGCTCAATGGAGGTGAATCAAGCTTCTAAATGTTCAATTGTTTTCATTTTTACGGTAGTGAGATGATTGATTGTGTTCTAGCTGGTGGGTTTTGACTTCTGACTCAGAAAGGCTGTTTCTTTTTTTTCTTTCTAGGACCTGGGTGTTCCTCCATTGCTTATGGTCTGGCTGAAGAAATTGGCCCATTTCATGTGAAGCCTGATGGTGCCTCACTTTATCTCAACCCTTACTCCTGGAATCAAGGTAAATAATGTTCGTTTCTGGTGTCCTGTGTAATATAAAGGTGGAATTCTTTCGGGTATCTTCCAACTACTCGAGTTATTACGAAGAACTGGCTCCTCCAAAATGCACGATATCGGTGGCATTGTGGGGCATCTATGATCTGTATCTTTTGTTGGTAGCGAACATCCCTTTGCATGGCACTATTTCCCCAATTATACTATTAACACAGACATTTTGGGTTTACATTCAAATTTTGAGGCTTCCTTGACCAGTTATTTATCATGTGATTGTCTATCTAACTTTCTCGTCTTATTCCCTTGTAGCTGCCAACATTCTGTTCCTTGATTCTCCTGCTGGAGTGGGTTACTCATATTCAAACACATCCTCAGATATGGTGACAAGTGGAGATAAAAGGACTGGTACTGTTTCAATTCTCTTGTACTTAAGTGGTCTGCTGCAAAACCATAAGTAAATAATCTGTGCACTGTTAAAATATGGTCCTTCCATTTTGGCAGCTGAGGACTCCCTAGAGTTTCTGATCAACTGGTTTGAGCGCTTCCCAGAGTATAAAGGAAGGGACTTTTACATTACAGGAGAGAGCTATGCTGGTAGAATGACTTCATATATCTCTTCCTAATGTTGTACATTGATTTCTAGTCTACATTTTACTAGCCAAGTCTGTGGATGTAACTTGTGAGAATGTGGTGGCTCTTTGATCCAGGGCATTATGTTCCTCAGCTAAGCCAAGCTGTTGTGTGGCATAACAAAGCCACTAAGTCCCAGACAATTAACCTTAAGGGATATATGGTATGGAATGATTACTCACTCCTAATGAATGCCATGCAACATATCTTTCTGATCATAAGCCACTTCTAATGACGGTCGATCTTGGTTTGCATAATGCAGGTGGGAAATGCTTTGACAGATGATTACCACGACCATTTGGGGGTCTTCCAGTTCTTATGGGCAGCTGGAATGATCTCTGATCAGACCTACAAGCAACTCAATGATGCTTGTGATTCCGTTTCCTTCATCCACTCGTCACATGCTTGTAATCGATATCTTGATATTGCGGATCAAGAAGTCGGACACATTGATCCTTACAGTGCCTTCACCCCTCCCTGCACTCCCAATATCAGCCAGTCCAACCAGCTGCTCAAAAGAAGGCGTGTAAGTACACATATAGCTCTGTAGTTGTTCGTAAAACCTTCGATATTCTTTTTCTCTCCTTCCTACTGTGTTTTTCATAGTAAAGAGAGAAGAAACCTTATCGTTTGAATGTTGATAGGTAATCGGCACTGTTAGAGAGAGGTATGACCCTTGCACAGAGAAGCACTCTACTGCTTATTTCAACCTGCGAGAGGTTCAGGAGGCTCTCCATGTTCCAGCTGAACTTGCACCATCCAAATGGGAGACTTGCAAGTATGCTTCATAGCCTAAGGACACAGTAGAAACCCAATTGTGACTAAAGCCTTAATGGACATTATCAATATTTTGGTCATGTTCTTGTGCTTTTCTTGCAGTAACTTGATAAATGAGCATTGGAAGGATTCTCCAAGTTCAGTGCTTGATGTTTATAAGGAGCTCATCCAAGCAGGGCTTCGCATATGGATGTTCAGGTACTTCAAGATCCTGTTTTGTCAGTTCGTGTTTTGGAGATTGACCATGGTCCTAGAGCCTAGAGGTGTCGAATGGGAGCGTTGGGACGAGTTTGTGTTGAGTTTATTGGGTTACGGGAAATCGAGTCATGTTAATGGCCCATTGCTTCCCAGAAGCATTAAATTCTTATCATCTAAACCTCCATTATTTCATTGCATGTAAACAGTGGCGACACTGATACAGTCATCCCAGTCACATCCACCCGGTACACCATCGATGCTCTTAAGCTTCAAACGGTGAAACCTTGGCGCGCTTGGTATGACGATGGAGAGGTAAAACCACATTCCACGCACTCGGAGTATCTTCTTCCTCGATTTTGGCCACACCATTTTTATGACGAATGAAACCCTTGTGCTAGCAGGTTGGAGGATGGACTCAAGAATATAATGGACTTACATTTGTTGCTGTTCGTGGAGCTGGCCATGAAGTCCCCCTGCACAGACCAAAACTAGCCCTCACGTTGGCCAAGTCTTTCTTAGCTGGATCGTCGATGCCGGCAGCTGCTTCTCTTGAACTGGTCAGTGATTCTTGAAGTCTTGGAAACGATTCATCGGGAAATGGCAGAACAAATTGTTTCCCAGCACTTCATTCCTGAAGTCACACAGATTTGGACACTAGAGAGGATGTCATTTACTCACGAATTATGTACTTGAACTAGAAATAAGAAGTTTAACAGAACTTTTCCTTATCTGTTGCGGATTGGTATGCTGCAATTAATTCTAGGGCCGGGTATCAATTGGCTAAATCGAAACTGGATCGACTTTAAACGTCTAGATCGAGTCGGACTAGATTGTTCCTCTTATAACAACGAAAAGGATCGAAGTACATTGCAGCCACAGTAAGCAAAGCTACTGAAGAGGTGAACACTACAACAAATCTCTAATGTGGAGGACTAAACTCTACAGTAACCGAACTTCCTTTCGAACAAGCGCCGCAAAAGATAAAATTGTAGGCAACTCGATCCAACAAGTGCAACTGATTCAAACATCGCCTTATGAGTTGCTCTTCGGTTCAAGTCATTGTTCACTGCTTAGATCGAAAAACACATTGCATGAGTCAGAAACAGGTTATTTAATTTGGATGAACGTGATGAGATTTGATATCGGAACCTCCAAAAACCATAGTAATACTCTCCATGTCGGCAAATATGCGATCTTCAATTCTTCATATATGTACAACGATGAACGACTTTACTTTGGTTTTTGAATCAACGAAACGACTTGTGAAAGTAGAGGTTGATACGAAATGAACGACAACACGATTTAAGGAAATTGTATAATTATATACTCGTGTATTTTTTTTTTTTTGAAATTACCTCTTGCTTGGCGTTCTGTTTCGGCCTCAAGCCAGTGTTGTTCAAACTGAATGTTGTAGAGCGCCTCCTCGAGTTTGGTTATCTCCTCCATCAACGGCCAGAAATGCTCTGAAACACCACAACAACGCGCAGAATACATGATTTCCAAAGAATATAATCAATTTGTAACATCATACATACATAGATAGCTAGTTAGTTAGGTTGTACCATTTCTGGCATGTTCGTCATGGAAAGTGAAGTGAGAGACATGAACGTCGAAATCAATGGTTTCATGATAAGGAGACTTGTTGGTGAAACAGAAACGGTAAACCCCTGTGTAGTAAACCACAAACTCATACTTCTCACTTGTCTTGTCTTTCATTTCGTGGACGACAATTCCAGGTGGTGCTGTTATCTAATTAATCGCCACCATGCGGAAAACCCGTCACTAATGATCAACTAACACGAGCAAGTTTAAAGTAAACAAATACAATAAACATCACACGCGATTAGATCAAGAAATCGGAGAGAGTAGAGGCATCAAGATTAAGTAGAGAGTTTTGGAGTGGGTGGGATCTCACATTGAAATCGACGCCCTCCTGGGTGTAATCCCAGACGGAATCAGATTTGATGACGACGAATGAGACGTGGATCGTGTCCGCCTGGTCGACGTTGTGAGCGAAGCATTCCTCTCTGTCGATCACGAACCGTAGCCCATTTGCCGTCTTCGATCCCCATAGTAAAATTGTTGTTAGTACTATGGCGACGGCGGTGAAATGTCTGAATGTTGAAGCCCATCGAATCGTCGCCATCTGATCTCTCGCCTGAAAAATGTGAATTTAATTAGATTGAAACAGAGAGAGTGTATCTTGTGTGAGAGAATGTCGCTTTTTACCTCGGGATCACGACTGAGTAAATATAGTGACGATGTGCATGATCATGAGTCACAAAGCACGGAGGTAAAAAAGTTTAATGAAACAAAATTTTTTAGTTAATTTTTTTTTATACTTGTAACACCACTCTCACTCTACCATAGGGTGAGGTTACCATTTCTTTATTTTTTCTTAATGATTATTTTATTGATATAATCTTTAATGAAACTAAATAGTTTAAACCGTAAAAAATTATAGTTAAATCATGTTGATTCCAATATGGGTTTAACTAATACAAACAACTAACACGATGGATTTTTGCAGTAAAATTTAATCAATCTCATAACTTAATTGAACACAAGTATTTTGTGAAAATTGAACACTTTTCTTTGGGGTATACGATTTGATTAGACAGCCTTAGGCCTTAGTCAAGCTATAGGGCTACTGGCAAAGCTAATCCTCTAACGGGCCCGAGGTGGCCCATTTTTGGGCCAGCAAAGCCCAAATCTCATATCCGGTTCCCAGTGATCATAGGCCCACTCGGCTTGTTTAGATACGCCGGGTTATCTCTCCGTCGCGCCACCGCCACGGTCGCTGTCTCTTCATATTAGGCCGGCTTCTTCTTATTCTGAAATTCCTCCCGATTCGGGAATGGAATAATATGCGATCCGTGCCGAATCCTTCCAGTGACCGTTCCTTCTCCAGAAAATTAAGCGAGGCGCTGACCCAATTACAGCCATTGGTGCGGCGGCGGCAGCAGCAGCAGAGCAATCTCTTTGCTCGAGATTCTTCTTTACCGGGCTCTGGGTTTTCTCTGCCGACGATGTCTAAGATGGGCACTGATTAAAACTTGATAAAGCTTGCATCTTTCCCCGGAAATCCACAAGGTTAGAATCCTCGTTAAGCTCGGATTTTCTGAAGCTGCTCTGGGTTAATGATGAAAACCCCTCATAATTTAATGGCTTTTCGATTTTTTTTCAAATGTTTGGTAATGATGAACTGTAGCTTTCAGTTCCCACTTCCCACCAAAGCTTTTTACCTCATGAATGGAAAACAATGAATATTTCATACAAGCTATCATCTTGGTTACTGGTATCTGATCTGAGTTGTGATTTGAATTAACTGTACTAGTGTCTACCCTATGGGTAGCATCTCCATCTTTTTTCATGGTTTATGAATCAACTTATGAGGCTACCAGTAGTTTGCTTGCTATGCTTTATCCAGAGAGGGGAACTAACCTTGATTGAGACGCAGGAGAGGGAAAGAGAGCCCTGGTGAACCTAGCTAAATGGGTGTTGGAAATAATAATCCTAAGGAGATTGCCATTAGAAGAAACATCTCCAGCATGTGAGTTCTACGTTCTCCTTCTCTAGCTTTGCGTTGTTGGTTTTGCACATCGACTCAGAACTTGTGCCGGCTCTTGTTATTGCACATTGGATGGCCTTGATATGTATGCTTGAGAAGTAAACTTTTTGTTATTTGGATTCATAGGGATATTTGGTTAGCATGTGTCGTTTGTTGGAATGTCTTCACTGTTCATGTCTGTATAAGGCAAAGATCGAAACAAATGGAAAGTTGTATTTGGTTGCTGCTGAATGCTACTCAAACACTAATTTGATTCCCTTTGCATCTGTTGCTAACAGATTTAATAAGCGGGAAGAGGATTTCCCGTCTCTGACGGAGTACAATGATTACTTGGAAGAAGTGGAAGACATGAGTAAGCTCTTGTGTACTTATTTGGTTAGTTGGTTGAGACGTGACTATCATGGCCTAACAAGATGGAAGTTTACTGTTGGAAGTTTTTAACTTGGTGTCAAACCCGGACACCCAAGCTACTGAAGCTATTAAAGCAAGAATAGAAGAATACAAGATAGAGAACGCGGAGCAAATAATGCTCAATCAAGCACGGAAGGTCTTGTAAAAAGTTCCAATTGTTTCAGTTCTCCAAAAGCTTTCTTGTGTTTTTCCTTGCCTGCAGTCATTGATCTTGTTCTTGGTTTTTATACCCTGTTGTAACAGGCTGAGGAATATGCTAAAGCTCTTGCAGCATGTAAGGGGCTTCCACAGCAAACAGATACTGAACTGGTGAGTTAGATCTCTTCTCCTTTCGGTACATTTGGTAATCTTCAGTTAATGCTCTTGATTCTGTGGAACATCTTTATTAGATGCCAGATGAATGCCACAAGCTTTGGAAAGCATTCCATGGTATATGTGGGTTAACTCTTTATGAAAACCCATCTTGTTTGTGAATTCTGCCAGAACTCTCAAGCAATGCTCGGAATAGAGACGACAGGGCAGTACGCGCCAATAATGGCTACTGGGCAGCCGCTACCAATGGGCCAACCAGGCTCAATTTGGGGTGACGGGCACGACGATGAAGAGATGATGAGGCTACGAGCAGAAAGAGGGAGCAGAGCTGGCGGGTGGACTGCCGAGCTTAGCAGGAAGAGGTCGCTTGAGGAAGCCTTCACCACCATCTGGATTTGACTTTCCTTTTTGACTACCCTTTTCCTTTTCTTTCGAGTATGGTGTTATCTTCCACTAGGGCTACCAGCTTGTTCATCTGTGAAATGGAAGAAATTTTGATCTGCTGACTGGTGAATGGCATATGATTATGAATGTTGATATCTCTGGAGAGAGCCAAGGCTTCTTTCCTGAAGTTACGACTTGAGTTATCCAAGCTTATACCTTGTCTCACTGTCATTATTGGTGAATAAGCATAGTGTGAAAAGAATAGTCTTTGTATGCCAAATGCAAAATTTCGAGCAGTTTTGTTTCTTTATCGCAAGAACATATATTTTTTGCTACAGATAAAAATTAAGGAACCCACTTATTGAAGAACGTTTTTTTTTTTTTTTTTTTTGCAGAGTACATAGTCCATGGAAGCCAATGTTTTGCTTTGGATGGTCAAACTCAAAACCCATTGTAAAATCACACCAAATATCAAACCGATGAAGTTAATAGTTCGAAGTATATTAGAGACGCACAAGCAAAAACTTACTAGCTTGAATATCGTTATGTGGTTTAAGCGATACAATCTGCTTAAATAGTGCAGTATTGCTAAAATCAGACGAAGGAATTGTTGGTCGGTGTGACGTGATTGCCATTTGCCACTCTCGAGGTTTTGGTCTTATTCTCCCACTGTGTGCTGAAAAGGAAACAGCCAAAGAAAACAAAATATCCCCCAACTGTTGAAGAGAGCGATTTCCCTCCACTGCTTCGCCCAAGTCCACCACTTCTATTATCTCTTCCCCTCCTTCCCTCCTTTCTTTCCCACTCCTTCAAAGGTAAGTACGTTACTTTTCGTTATCTTCATCTTTATCTGTAGCTCTCTATTATCTTCCTTGAAAGCCCAAAGCTTTTTCGTCTTCTAACAATGGCGTCCCTGAAACTTCCCATCTGCTTAGAGCCCTTCGATTCCGAAAGATCAAGTCTTTCCAAAAACCCACTTCAGTTCCCAGCTATTTGCTCATTCTTATACGTGACCAGCTTCAATAGAGCTTCTACTACCGCTTCGTCGAGTAGATTCACTCCTTCCAGAGTTCCCCAAATCGGGACTGAATTGCAGGATAAGGTGAAGGAGAGTGTTCATAATCGTGCAGTTGGGAAAGGAATCAAAGGAAGGAGGAAACATGTTGGGTTTAGTCCTGATTCGAAGAGGAACCATGGCAAGCAAGGGAAGTATGATCTTTTTGTGTATGATGATGGGCTGGATGTTAATTACAGTGTTGTTCAGTCTGATTTGAGCTTAGAAAGCTGCAATTTCGTTCTCAAAAGGCTTGAGAAAGAGAGCACCGACGACAAAACTCTGCATTTCTTCGAGTGGATGAGGAAGAATAAGAAGCTGGAGTATAATCAGTCTGCTTACAATCTAGTCCTCCGAGTTTTCACCAAAAGGAGAGATTGGCAAGCTGCATCAACCACAATCAAGGAAGCCACTGATCAATGTGGGGCCCGCCTCGATTTCCGGCTATTCAACACACTCATCTATGCTTGTTGCAAGCAAGGCAATGTCGAATTGGGCAGCAAATGGTTCAAGATGATGCTGGAGCTTCAAATTCGGCCTAACATTGCCACATTTGGAATGCTCATGGGGCTTTATCAGAAGGGTTGGAATGTTAGAGAGGCAGAGTTTGTGTTCAACCAAATGAGAAGCTTTGGTATCAAATGTGAGTCTGCTTACTCTTCCATGATCACAATTTATACTCGTTTGAGCTTGTACGATAAAGCGGAAGAAGTTATCTATTTCATGATGAAGGAAGACAATGTGGTGATGAATTTGGAGAACTGGTTGGTGGTGATCAATGCTTATAGTCAAAGAGGAAAGTTGGAAGAAGCTGAACGGATGTTTGAATCGATGCAGGAAGCTGGTTTTCCTCCTAATGTGATTGCATATAACACGTTGATAACTGGGTACGGGAAAGTGTCTGACATGGTTGCTACTCAACGCCTGTTTTCAGCTATTGAAGATGTAGGGTTACAGCCCGATGAGACCACCTATCGGTCCATGATTGAAGGATGGGGTCGAATGGGGAACTATGAAGAGACAAAATGGTATTACAATGAGCTGAAGAGATTGGGCTTCAGGCCTAACTCGTCAA